TATCTTGAGATATGATTTCAAAAATACTAAGACCTTTAGATATTAAGATGAAACAAGATTCAGTTTCATAAATGATAAATAAGGTAAACTAATAGGTTTGAATGACAGAGAAAGATGAATTTTCTAATCAAATCCTTTAAAGTAAGTTTCTAAAACTTAACAAAATGGCATAGAATATAAATCTTCAACTAAAAAATTCTGACATTGAAAAATAGAAATTAGGAAAGCTATTTTTTAGTATCCCCCCCAAAAAAAGCAGTTGGTCAATCTAATATTTACTTCCGGAGTATGTTAGTTTATAAACAAAAAGAAAAAACCCTTTAAAATATGACAATTACAAATGCACACCCAACATTAGACCAAAATACACTGTCTTATAATAAATTACTGAGTCTGCCCCTTTGCTACCACTATTACAGTACCTCTCTCAGTATCTTTTAGTGGTTTCTCCCTTATTTGTCCAGTTTCTTGCCATTAACTGGACCTGGTTCAGAACGGAAGTATTTTTTTTTTAAGATTTATTTATGAATACAAGAGCTGGGGTACAGGCCAGAGGTGGGGGGGGTGAGAGGATTCACCAGAGACAGAGTGGGAAACAGAACAGGCAGATTAACTGAAGTACACTGCTGAGGGGAGCAGTGGGCGAGGCAGGAAAGGTCTGCTGTGCTATGTGGATTGCCTGGGGATTGAACTCATGCTGCAGAGGCTGCTGACAGCTTCATAGGTTGTATCTTAACTGGTTGCACCACCAGGGAGGCCCCCAGAACTGAATTTTTAAAATGCTATCTCTGTGAAATAAAAATTATCTTTCATATTATCAATTCTAAAATGAGTGGAAATCCAGAGCATGAAGACCACAATACCCTTCCCTCGTCCTAATGTCAGAGTACAGGAAAGAAGGATGGGTCCAGAAGTAGGTAGTTTCATTCATTGTTCCAATAAAATAAATGACATTTAACACTTGGCATTACCCCGACGATGCTTAGTGTTAGCACAAGAACTAATTTTATTTTTATGTTTTGTGTTATTGTATTAACAAAATAATCCCAACTTTCATTATTTCTTAAAAGATTTATTTTTTATTTATTTATGAATGCAAGAACTGGGATGTAGGTCAGAGGTGCAGGGGGTGAGAGGATTCACCAGAGACAGAGTGAGGAGCAGAACAGGCGGATCTACTGAAATACATTGCTAAGGGGAGCAGCGAGCAAGACAGGAGAGGTCTGCTGTGCCATGTGGGTTAGCTCCCTGACTGGGGATTGAACTCATGCCTCAGTGGCTGGTAATAGCTTGATAGCACTAAGACTAACCGCTGTGCCAAAAAAGGAGACCTGTAATCCCAACTTTTTTTAAATAAGCAAAAAAAAAAAAAGTCCTTCTTTAGGGATTCAAAAAAAAAAAACAGCTAGCCTTTTTTTTTTTTTTCTTTTTAATGAGGCCGAAGAATTTCATTGAGACAAAATAATGGACTTGCTAACAATTGTAGTTTTTTAAAAAACTGAGATTCATTAATGAGTTAGGTTTTAGACTCTTCTTTGGTGGGTGTATTTGAAGTAAACTAAACATTTGTACTCTAGCATCAAGCAAAATCACACTTCTTGTTCTCCTTTAACACTTCTTGCTGATGGTTGTTTTCTAGATTAATCTTTTTTCTCAGAATGGTTAGATCTAAAATTTGGGTTAAGGCAAAATAGGCCAAGGCAAAAAGCTCTCCAGTAGTCCCATCTGGTTCCCTGGATTTCCACAGCAGGGTCTGTCCTTGTGTATGTATGACTATTGGTGATCTCAAAGGGAAGAGTAATTGGTCTAGGGCAGGATTTGGTTTTCTTGGCCCTACCCTGATATTAACTTAATTGCACAGCAGACTGATCCCTTGTGTAGGTTAGGATGTTTGGAATCCTGTCTTTTAGCTATATGTTTATCTGTAATACCTATTTCTTCCTAACGTCCCCTACCCTGCTGTTTTTGGTAACTCCCAGGATTCAGGGTGACTTCTTTATGCTTCTTGTTTTCTTCAGCTTTCCTAATATGAACATAATTTATTTACTTTTTATTTATAAACTACAATGAATTTTACCTATCTAAAACCAGTTTAGTTTGCTTTTGAGGAAAAAAGGAAGAAACTAGAGACTATATAAACTTTTAACTACAATTCTGTAGAAAGGTGGTAAAAGCAACTTGCAAAGTAGGTGAGAACAAAAAGTTTATGACAGAAGTACTAAGATCTAGGAAAGGACCTTAAACAAAAGGTTTATAATATGAGGAAGCAGATGAGGCATCAGTACTGCTGTGTATTCAAAAGTAGAACCAAGGGCCTCCCCGGTGGCGCAGCGGTTGAGCGCTGGGTTGCGAAGCTGCCCGGAGCCTCTGCGGCGCCGGTTCGATCCCCGGCTGCTTCCCGGCCACTGGAGGAGGGTCCCACATGGCACGCAGACCTCTCCTGCCGCCCGCTGCTCCCCTCAGCAGTGTACTTCGGTCTTTCTGCCTGCTCTGCTCCCTGCTCTGGCTCTGGTGAATTCTCTCACCCTCCCACGCTTCTGACTGTACCCAGTGCATGTATAAACAAACAAAGAAACAAACAAACAAATAAATAAATAAAACATGCCTCTATTAAAAAAAAAAAAAAGTAGAACCTGACAAAGCTAAAACACTTTCTAAATATTAACTTTTGATCTGATTTATTAATCCCATGATAGGCACATTAATCCCATGATAAACACATCGAATGGTAAAGTAAAGCAAAAGATGATTTGTCCATGCTGAAATAAAATTTATAAATAGATAATGTCTTTCTGTGACTCTTCTCCCTTTATTGTAGCAGTGTGTCTCTGTGTGACTAAGTTAAGGAAAGTAAATTGGTTACCATTTCTCTTTAATAGCTAGGAATTTGGAAGTTCATTCCATACTTACAGCAAAGTTAGATCAGAACCAGTTCTAAACTTGGAAAAGTTTTTTGGATGTCACTCTGCTTGCTCAAGATGAAAGATTGTATTTTTAAAGAGCCATTTTACTATGTCAGAATATTTTTATTAAGATGTTAGCAAGCCATTGTCCTGGAAGTGAAAAATTTTGGCTTTCCTCAGTGTCAGATACTCTAATTTTGTTCTCTTCTTTTTTAAAAATTGTATTATATTTTTGGGGGGGCTCCCTGATGGTGCAAGGGATTAAGCACTATGAAGCTATCCCAGCCACCCACATGGCACTTTAAAAAAAAAAAAAAGATTTATTTATTTATACAAGAACTGGGGTACAGGCCAGAGGTGTGGGAGGGTAAGAGAACTCACCAGAGACAGAGCTGGGAGGAGAACAGGCGAATGGACCGAAAACACTACTGAGGGGAGCAGTGGGTGAGATAGGAGAGGTCTGCTGCGCCATGTGGTATCTCCCTGGCTGGCCCAGAATCAAACCCATGCTGCAGAGGCTACAGACAGCTTCACAGCACTGCGCTCAACCCGCTGCGCCACCGGGGAGTCCCTTTTTAAAAAAAGATTTATTTGTTTATTCATACAAGAGCTGAAGTGTGGGCCAGAGGTGCAGAGAGATAAGAGGATTCGCCAGAGACAGAGTGGGGAGCAGAACAGGCAGATTGACTGAAATACATTGCTGAGGGGAGCAGCAGGTAAGACAAGAGAGGTCGTCTGCACCATGTGGGTCACCTGGGGTGGGGCGATCATCAAACTCTTACCGCAGTGGCTGCCTATAGTTTGATAGTGCTGAGACTTAACCTATTGCGCCACCAGGGAAGCCCCCATAAAAATTGTATTTTTTTTTTTTAAGATTTTATTTATTTATTTATTTATACAAGCACTGGGTACAGTCAGAAGCACGGGAGGGTGAGAAAATTCACCAGAGCCAGAGCGGGGAGCAGAACAGACAGACTGATGAAGTACACTGCTGAGGGGAGCAGTGGGCGGCAGGAGAGGTCTGCACGCCATGTGGGACCCTCGCCCGGCAGCCAGGGTTCGAACCAGTGCTGCACAGGCTGTGGGCAGCTTCGCAACCCAGCGCTCAACCGCTGCGCCACTGGGGAGGCCCAAAAATTGTATTTTTTTAATTGAGGTAATATTGGTTTACAAAACTGTAGACTTAAGGTATAAGTTCATACCTCTTTATTATTTATTTATTTATTTATTTATTTTTAAAATTTTTTTTAATAGAGGCATGTTTTATTTATTTATTTGTTTGTTTGTTTATACATGCACTGGGTACAGTCAGAAGCGCGGGAGGGTGAGAGAATTCACCAGAGCCAGAGCGGGGAGTAGAGCAGGCAGAAGGACCGAAGTACACTGCTGAGGGGAACAGCGGGTGGCAGGAGAGGTCTGCATGCCATGTGGGACCCTCCTCCAGTGGCCGGGGAGCAGCCGGGGATCGAACCGTCGCTGCAGAGGCCGCGGGCAGCCTCGCAACCCAGCGCTCAACTGCTGCGCCACAGGGGAGGCCCCCTCTTTAAATATATTACCACACCACACCACACCCACCGCCAAGGGATCCATAATCCTTCACCATAATCCATTGGGCCCACGCCCCCCCACCCCAGTTTGCTCTCAATTCGTCTCTAGTTTTAGGGAGTCATGAATAGGGTAAGGTACTCCACAAGAAAATGATCGGTGGACCTCCCTGGTGGCGCAAGAGGTTAAGATGCAGCCTGTGAAGCAATCTGCAGCCACTGCAGCACAAGTTCGATCCCCGGCCTGCCAGGGAACTACTCACATGGCGCAGCAGACCTCTCCTGACTTGCCCACTGCTCTCCTGAGCAGTGTATTTCAGTCAATCTGCCTGTTCTGTTCCCTACTCTGTCTCTGGTGAATCCTTTCACGCCCCCCCCTCCCCCCCACCTCTGGCCTATACCCAGATCTTGTATGCATAAATAAATAAATCTTTAAAAAAATATATAGAAAATGATCAATGATAAAGTATGAATTGATGGGTTTCCCCTTGTTGCCATAAGTTAGAGGGAAGGAGTTATGGGGCATATGTCAAAGCCTGTTCTATCCTGGCAGGTGTGGTGTTTCCAGAAGAAACAAACAGATCTGCTCATCAACTTTTATAAGCATAGAATCACAAAGTTAGAAGCAGCCATTCAGGAGGCACAGCAAACAGTGACCAGACAGGACAAGTAAGTGACAAATGATCACCAGAGAGCTTTTATCCTTTCAAAGAAGCTGTAACCCTTATTTCCTTAGGGTTGCAGTGCTTGAAAATTGCTCCATGTATGTGCTTTTGTGGGTAAATCAAAGTTTTGTTGATCTTAATCTCCATTTTATTTTTCTGTCTTCCCTCAAGGGATCCTCCCTACTTTATAGTTTCTACTTCCAAAAATTGTCTGAGAAACCAGACTGCTTATTCATATTGAGAACATGAGAGAGAGCATTTAAAATGTTACCACTGGATGGGTTTATTTTGGAAATCTTAAGCAAAAAGTGGAATCCTTGATAGAAGTTTTTAGACATCAGGGGTATGTGTGGAGAAGCAGTGGAATTCTATTTATTATAAATTCTATGTATTTTCCCCTAAAAACATAACAAGGGACTGCTTATTTTGTTCACCTGGTTCTTCCCATCATCAAAAGTGTGCTATAATCCCACTGAATCACAAGATGCCTACAGAAATACCTTGTAACATGGCAGGCATCTTTCCATAAACATTAACTAACTGTCAGTAACAATAAAAATCAAGTTGTTTTTTTAAATACCACTGACCTGCTAGAGCTGATTGCTTCTATCTTTTGCCTAGAGAACTGTCTGTCTTAAGGAAGGAGAATGAAGAACTAAAGAAATTTCTAGCCTTCCTAAAGGTGAATAAAATAATTTTCCTTACTGTATTTTTTCCCCTACTTTTCCCATCTATCTAGTAACTGTAGAGAATACATTGTGGCACCTATAGTAACTGATCATATTTGTACAACAAGTGCACTGTAGTAAACGAATGAGGCCATAGAACCCCTTGACAGATTGAGAGGATCAATATTTAGCACAGTGGTAACCCATCCTTGACATCTGTGTTGAGTCACTACATACCACTTAAGACACTTTCTTACAGAAGAGATCTCTGTTGCAGCTTAAAATTTCTCTTCAAGAATCCCAATGGGCCTCCCTGGTGGTGCAAGGGGTTAAGACACAACCTATGAAGCTGTCCACAACCTCTGCAGCATGAGTTCAATCCCCCCTGGCCAGGGAGCAACCCACATGGCACAGCAGACCTCTCCTTCCTCACCCGCTGCTCCCCTCAGCAGTGTACTTCGGTCCATCTGTCTCTGGTGAATCCTCTCACCCCTCACCCCACACCTCTGGCCTATATCCCAGCTCTTGTATGCATAAATAAATAAATCTTTAAAAAAAAAAAAAGAATCCCAAGACTCCTCTCCTTCAACCTCTATTTTCTGGACATTTCTTTCTTCCTAAAAGAAATCTTTGTTTTTGTATAATTTTTCCATTGATCCTATTCCTGTGTATCATAATTCTGTCATTTTCCTTTTTCTTCCCATAGATTCTCCTTATTTCCCTACATATCAGTTTACAGGATTCCCAATGTATTTTTATGGCAAGGAATAAAAATTTTATCCCCCCAAAGCTAGTAATTCCCTAAGGAAATATTAACACTACTTTTTTTTTCCTACTGGGAATCTTAGTAACTACAATCTAAGAGAACACTGCAGTTTAGTCATCTAACAAGTAAGAGGCTGTTGATTGGTACCTTTGAGCTGCAACTTCCTTTACTCCTAATTTTTTTCACCTACAGGAATCTCCAAGTCATTACCAAGGAAGCAGGTCAGTTTTATCAGGCCTCATAGTAGTCCTCCTTGAAAATTTCTTGACTCTTAGCTGTATTTTCTATGTGGGCTTTGAGGTGGTGGAAATGGTTTATGAATTTATCTTTTTCTTTTCCAAGAGTTACTCACTGAAAAGTGCTATGAATGTAATGTTTATCCTTTACTATCACCTTATATATCCTATATATCTTTCAAAATTCAACTCACTTGGCATTTCTTCTCTCAAGACTTCTTTAGGCAAAGTTAGATGTTCTATTCATTTATTCAGTAGCTATTCATGACCTGCTGTTTACCAGGTACTATATTAGGTGCTGGGTGTACACTTAATTGATGTACATCAGTTCTTCTGATTGATAATGTCTGTCCCTACCAATTGTTATATATTTTTAATGTAACGCTGCATTGGTGGATTAAAAAATATATATAGCCCCACACTCACAGACATTATAGTTTATTGTTTTTTCATACTTCTGTACTTCTGATATACCCATACTTATATAACAATTATATTGCTTTATAATTTTTGTCTCTTGTAGTTTCTTTGTAATCTCAGGATCCAGGACATATGGGTACTAAATAAATGTGTGTTGGATAGATGGATGAGGGGATGAAGAGTGAGGACATGGTGTGTGTATGAAAGGATAAACATACAGATATTTATATGGAAAGTTGAGTGTACTTGATAAGACACTGAGGAAAGGGAGAAAGGAATGTACTTCAGAATTTCTATTATGGGCAGTAGAGAGGGCATAAGGTTTCATCTTGGGAATTGGAGAGCAAAGGGTTCTTGTGTTAACTTTGGCTCTGTATTTTGGGGTAATATCTGAAATACAAGATAGTAAGCAATTTGTGCGAGAGGAAGCTATTACATTTGGTTTTTAAAAAATTTTTCCTCAAATTTAATTAATTTGACAGTCATTTATATAACTTGAAGTTACTAGTTTTAAAAATAATAATTTGATTGATCCTCTAAGGTGATGCTTCTGCTTGAAGAAATTAGAGCTGCCTTTTTTCCTTTTCCCTTGCAGATTAACCACACCTCGACCAGTGGGCATCACTTCCCCATCACAGTCAGGTAGAGAACATTTTTTTGTGCGAGATGAATACATATCCTTTTTTTCATTTAAAAGATTGTTTTCTCTCAGAAACTATAATTTCATTTTCCTAATCTTATGTATGATAGGAAATGATCATACAACCAGATACCCACTTGCAAAAGATTGGCTAGGCAAGGCAGAGCATAATGTTGATAGCAGCCTTCCATTCTGCACTTTATTCTCTTTCAGTTACTCCACGACCCAGTTCTCAGCATAGCAGCCAAGTGGTCAGGTGAGTAGAAAGCCTACACAGCAACATTAAAGTTGGCAAATGAAAAGAAATACCTAGATGTGTCTGAATTAGGGACTGAGGAGACTTTAAATCTATGTAATTGTTTAACCCCAGGTTTGTTTTTTTTCTTTTTGTCTCACTTTTTACAGTCGTTCCTCCTCAGTGGAGTCTATCCCTTTTAGAGTAGCTGGCTTTGGTAGCTTGGGACAAGTAAGTCATATTTACCTTTTTTTTTTTCCCACACAGGTTTATAGTTGTAAATGAAAGAAATATTTAAGGCAAGAATATGAATTTATATTAATTTTGGCATAAATTATCTGATGTGATGCCCAGACTGTTTTCTTGTGGCAATGTAGACCTAACTCAGACACATACACAGAGAACAAGGAAGCACCCACAGACTGAGTTAGCGGTGCTCGCTACGTTCATTTTGGAAGTAGTCACGTCTGCATCCTTCTTAGACTAGCATTTGGGACGAACTTTGGGAGAACATTTTCTTCATTGTTTATAGAGAAACAGCAAGGAAAATGGAATCCACAGAACTGAAAAATACTTTTATTATTTTCCACCAGGGATCCAGAGGCCTGCAGGGAAGGAGCACTCCCAGAGACTCTTTTACTGGTGAGTGGGAAAAAAGTATCAGAATCAACATACTCTATACAGATACCAGCAGATTTCTGGCTTTCTCTGCAGAATATAAGGTCATTTTACTTTGTTTTTTTTCCCCCCAGAGAATTATGGAAAGTATCCAGACATATATTTTTGTTTTTCAAGTGATGATATTTCTGTCCTTAAATTGTAAAGGGAAAATGAAAATGTGGGCAGTAGAAAGTCATTGAAAACCTCTGGTCTTGAGGTAGAGGATAACTTTTGAGTATAATAATGGACTTGAAATTTTTTTAAATTGCCACAAGGTGGCAGTACAAGCTAAGACTAAAAGGAAGGTTAATTTGATGCTGATTATGTTGGACTTGGGAAGGTGTCTATCTTCTTCAGTGTGAATTAAACATAAAAATATTCCAGTGAAGAAATAGTTGGTTCCACCCACTTAATTCTTGTGTCTTTCCCTTAGAATTACTCCTGTTATTATTTTCAAAGGGATTAGCTATTTCATAGAGAATACTTCTCAGAGAGCATTTCTTTCTTTTCACAAAAGGTAATTTTGAAGTTCACAAATCTCTTCTTGGTTAATTAATTTTTAAATTCACCAAATAGTCTCTCTCAAATTCTTTCATACACAAAACCCTTGGAAAAAGGTTGATGTTCTAATGAATTTATTTCTGACAGGTTAGTAGAAATATTCCCTTCTTTGTTCCTAATCTTACTGAGTCTTCTTTTTTTCTTGGACCAATTTGAAGAACCAACTTTTAGATTTTCTTATTTTTTTTTTTTTTCCCTCTGCTTCATTTCTGCTCTAATTTTTTTCCATCAGCTTATATTGGGTTTAGTTCTTTTTTTCTAAGTTTCGCAAGGTGGAAGGTTAAATTATTGATTTAGATCTGCTTTCTTGATATATACTTTTACCATTATACATTTTGCTCTAAGCACTGTTTTTTGAGGAGTCTTACAATATTTACTATATTGTGGTTTTAATTCATCTCAAAGTACTTTCTAACATCTCTCGTGATTTTACTTTGAACTATTGGTTATTTAGCAGTGCTGATTAATATTCATATATTTGTGAATTTCCCAAATTTCCTATCATTACCGATTTTGAAATTAATTTTATTGTGGTTGAACAAAATAGTTTGTATGACTGAAATATTTTAAAGTGTGGGCCTTGGGCCTCCCTGGTGCCGCAAGGGGTTGGGACACAACATATGAAGCTATCCGCAGCCACTGTAGCACGAGTTCGATCCTTGGCCAGGGAGATACCCACAAGGCACAGCAGACCTCTTCTGACTTGCCTGCTGCACCCCTTAGTAGTGTATTTCAGTTGATCTGCCTGTTCTGTTCCCCATTCTGTCTCTGGTGAATCCTCTCACCCCCTCCCGACCTCTGGCCTGTACCCCAGTTCTTGTATGCATAAATAAATAAATCTTTTTTTAAAAAAGTGTATACCTTAACAGATGGTCTATTCTAGCCAGTGTTCTTTGTACACTTGAGAAAAATGTGTATTCTGCTCTTTTGGGTAGATTGTTCTATAGATCACTGTTAGATTTAGTTGGTATGTAGTGTTATTCAAATCTTCTATTTCATTGCTGATCTTCTGTCTAGTTGTTATATCTATTATTGAAAGTGGGATATTGAAGTTTCCAGCTATGATTGGTGAATTGTCTATTTTTCTCTTTAATTTTATCAGCTTTTACTTCATGTATTTTAGAACTGTTACTAGATGCATATATGTTTGTATATTATCTTCTTTTGGATTTATTCTTTTATCATTTTGACCTTTTTCTCTAGTAACAGTTTTGTCATGAAGTCTATTATTTGTCTGATATCAGTCTTAGTGAACTTAATGATCCTTTGTCTTTAGCCATTCTTTCTAGTAATCTTCTTATAGGGGAAACCAAGGCACAGATACATTACAGCACATACAGCAATGATGGGTCCAGGCCCACAAACTCATGAAACGGAGAGGAAAGCACCTTTGAGATGCTGCTAGGCGATTTGTGAGCTTTCTTACCTGCCATTGGCCCCTAAACCTAATATATATATATATATATATATATATATATATATATACACACACACACACACACACACACACACACACACAATACCTAATATATACAATATTATATGTGCAATATATAAATGTATTGTATGTATAATAAAAACAATAAAAAATCTTTAATCCCTCAGTTCCTTTGCCCTGGCCCCTGGTACATCTGAATCCTTCTCCAGTTTGTGTATTATCTCACATGCATTTTTGTGCTTTTCAGAAACCCCTTCACCAGCTTCCTCTTACAGCCTATCTTACAGGTAAGTGACTCTATGCTAACTTTCGTTTGGGATCTGTTCACACCAGCACTCTGCCAGCAGCACTGGAGCCTATACCAATGAAATTTATTCTCTACCTATAAACACAAAGAGGAAGTTGAAGAATACTATGTCTAATAGACATTTGAATTATTTTATTTTCAACTGCAATTAGGGGATTTATTTCGTCTCTGTTGTGCAGGTATAGGCTCTTCCTTTACATATGGTCTTTACCTCCACCTTTCCTTTTCTCTGCTGATGCTTTTGTTTTCCCTTCTTAGACCATCTGCCTCCTCAGGACGGGGGTTTTTTCCTTTCGGACCATCTCTAAATGGTGGGAATTCAGACCACACAAGAGTCCTCACCCCTGACAATTCAGGTAAGTTAAATAATATACCCAAAGGAGTAGAACTTCAGCCATTGACATACATACTTAGTGAAGCCTTTCAAAGGGAAAAGAAGTTGGGATTTGCCATACCCCAAGAGTATATTGTCTTTAGTTTGGCTCTATTTCTTTCATAGTGAAGAATTTTACCTAGGGCCTCCCTGGTGGTGCAAGGGTTAAAGTCTCTGCTATCAAGCTATTGCCAGTCACTGCAGCACAAGTTCAATCCCCAGCCAGGGAGCTAACCCACATGGCACAGCAGACCTGTCCTGTCTCTCCCGCTACTCCCCTCAGCAGTGTATTTCAGTAGATCTGCCTGTTCTGCTCCCCACTCTGTCTCTGGTGTATCCTCTCCCCGCACACCCCCCACACCTCTGGCCTAAACCCCAGTTCTTGTATACATAAATAAATAAAATAAATCTTTAAAAAAATTTTACCTAAATTGCACTCATCTTTTCACCAGTCGAGTTTTTCTTTTTTTGTTATGTGTATGAACATTACTGGGAACACAGTTTTGAATGTGAATGATAAAACCACTATCTCTTTTTCATCCTCACCTTTTCCGAAACATATCTTTGGTAACAGGCCTCTTGATAAGAGGCTGTCATCATCCATAACTCACCAAAATTTTTTTATTGCTTCTTTTTTCTACTCATAGTTAAGTTCAAATCTCAGATTTCTCTGTCAGTACTCCATCCTCACAAGGATGGACTTTATAACCCATCTCTTTTTAGTACCTTATCTAACAGTTTTTCACTTTTAATATGTGTTCCTCATTTTAAGAACTTTCTTTTTAACATGCTCCATCACTAGCACTGCAGGGGAATTGCCAAATAAGTATTCTTTCACTATTTTATTATATCTTACAGGTCAAAGGGAAGGCAGAACCACTCTAGAGAGTCTTCCTGGTTTCCAGCCACCAGTCCTGCAAGTGAGCCTCTAACTTGTCTGGATGAGAAAAACTCACAGTTAGGCCTACTACAGTGAAGGTGGTAGGATGTAGCCAGTGGAAAATGACATAGGTTTCAAGTCTGGTAATCATATATTCACAACTTTCCAGAATGGACTCAATTTCAACAATTCTATACTGTCTGATTAGCTTCCAAGTTTAAAAATAAGGTCATATGGTAGTGAAAGGTTTTAAACTTCAGAGGTCTTGGCCAACATGATCTAAGTGTGTGGACACAGCTACATTTGCAGAAGCTCCTAAAGAACATTTTTAATGGAATATATTTTTTGAGTAGAAGTACTACTGTTTGCAGTAGGAAAAAACATGTAATCCTCCAGAGATAGCTGGAAAAATGTTTTGTGAATTTATGGGACTATGGTTCTAATCTTGACAAGAGAAAAGGGCATGGGAAAGAAGAGAGGTTTATAAGGAGCTCTACTAAATGAGAAGCCTAGTCTTGCCCTTTAACTTTTATGGCTTGGGTTTGAGGGTATTTATGCCCTTTTTCCATACCAAGCTCCTGGGTGACCCCCAAAATGTAGTAAGGCAGGTAAATATTTTGCTCTCAGACTCCAAAATTCCCTGTATTTTTATCAGCAAAAAAATAGGATCTAACAGGCCTCTCCGGTGGCGCAGGTGGTTGAGTGCAGCGCTGTGAAGCTGTCCGCAGCCTCTGTAGTGCCGGTTTGATCCCTGCTGGTGTCGGAGCAACCCACGTGGCGAGCAGACCTCTCCTGTCTCGCCTGCTGCTCCCCTCAGCAGTGTATTTCGTCATTCTGCCTGTTCTGTTCCCCACTCTGTCTCTGGTGAATCCTCTCACCCTCCCGCACATCTGGACTGTACTCCGACTCTTGTATAAATAACATAAAAATAAATCTTTAAAAAAAAAAAATAGGATCTAACTCCTGAGAGGCAACATTGAAGAAGTAACATCCATAAGAGCCTCACAAATGGATTAACCCACAGATAAAAGCATTCAGGGAACTATAAACCATCTACAAATACATGGCCCCTAATTGATCTTGATGATACCTTCTGTAAAAAACATTTACGAGTGAGTGAGGAAAACTGAATATATTGAACATTTGATAGTATAGGGTTTTTTTTGTAGGCATGATACTGTTTTAGTAACGCCTTTTAAGAGTCTTTATCTTTTGGAAATACGTACTAAAATATGTATGGATAGGAAGTGGTTGGGTTTTGCTTTAATATAATCAGGTGGAGAGGGGCAGTGAGAGTAGACATGAAAGAAAATTGACCATGAGTTATTTTTTGAAGTTTTGAGTTCATTATGTTACTTAAAATGAAAAATTCCTGTAAGTTAATAATAAAAAAAAAAAATTATTGAAGAAAGTGCAACTCCCCTGCAAAGGCATTAGGAATTCTGTTTCCCTGTTTATCATTTCTGGTTATGGTAGTTACAGGTACCAAGTCTTCCAAAAGAGCTTGATTTTCAAATATTCTGCCTTATTAGTATATTAACTGAAATGTTCCAGCAAGTTTCATTATTAGCAACAAAGCTTTGGTTACCCTAGATGTATCAACTTCCAAACTTAGTTTGGAAGTTATCATGCAATGGAGAAAAACTATAGGGAAGCAACAATTGTTTACTGGCCTGATAAACTTCATGTAAAGCCTTGAGAGGGCTTTACTTGCCATTTTTGTCATAAACACTGACTTCTTGTCCTCTGCTGCAGACTCTCTACCAACAGAGGCAGATGGGATTAACCAGGGGGAGAGAAGGATGGACCACTCCCAGATAGACCGTCTTCAAATGTGATCTATGCACACTGCTGAAGGATGACCTGTAGTATCCACCAGAGGCCATGGTCTTGGAAAAGGTATCCCTGCCTTGTTTCCTGGTTTCACTCAGTACCTCATCTCTTCCAAATACACTCTGTATTACCTCTTGGGAAAGTGGTCAGGTTTTATATAAGGCTTATGCTACAGGATGTTTGTATCTCTCCCACAAGACATATGTAGCTCCCTCATTCTTGCAATTTGAAAGGGAGTCAAAACAATTTTTGACATCATTGAAGGGGAGGGTAACATACTGTGTTTTATTTTTGGATTTCAATTTTTAACCGTGGATATATTCTCATTGCTATATTGCCAATGTTAATAAGCAACAACTCTTGTTTCTTGTTCTAATTTATAATACTTTCTCTACTTGCCTATTGTTTCTTGTGCCTACTTATTATTAAATGTTTATTTTCCTTTCTGTTTGAACAGCTGGAGATAGACTTTCAGATTACAAAAGTACATAGATAATAAAGAGGATGCCCTTTTATTGCAGCTACCTGTTGGCATTACAAGCTTTAGATTGGTGGAATGGGCAAACACTACTTAGATCAAATGTTTCTTCTTTAGGTACATAGGGGTAGCCATGAGCAATTAAATGGGTGACCCATTGGCAGGCAGGGCCTTAAGCAGAAATTCTGGGAAAATGCAGAGACATCTGACCAGAAGTAAATTACATCTTGGGGAAAACCTTGTAGCTGAACTAGAGAATCCCATTACCCCTTTCTGGTACTCTGAATTTCTTTTTAAAGGCATTTCTAGACACCTTCTTCTGGGAAGGAGCCTATGTATATTGTAGCAGGTGCAGTTACCTCCGAGAATGACTCAATTGTCACTGCTCACTGCTAAAGCCTCAGAAGTTTTAATTATTACTGTCTGATGGCTGGGAAACAGCCTGTTGATAATTATCTACTGCCTTTTAACATTTTTATCCTTTTACTTCAAGATATCCTGCCCTTCTCAAAAAAAAAAAAAAGTGTACCGAACTAGAATGTTAACAGATTTGGTTCCAATAATCTCTAAACCATAGAAGTGGCAAAGTGGACAAGAGAAACAATTTTATTTTTGGATTTTTTATTATTCTAGTAACTTGGAGCTTCCACTTTTATTTCTAAGTGGTTAAACCATTGATATCTTTGTATCTGACCCCAACTGATCAAACCATTCTAAAGCAGCAATAATTCAGTTAAAGACCATGGTCCCTCTGTCCCCAAGATAGATCCTGTAGAGAGAGGACCACAAAGAAAGAAAAAGTTCCTTTTTTGGACACAAATTGAAACACCACCAAAATGAAAAATCAGTCAAGCTAGGCAGGTTTGTAAAACCAAACCTGGAACCTACCTGTACTGTCCTTCTGAACAGCAAAAACCATTCCCTCTCCTCTACCCTCTGTAATCTAATTCACTTTAAAGGACATCTCCCTTAATTCCCACCTCCAATAAATATCCAGTCTAAATTATTCTCCACCCAATTATTAAACTTTTTCACAAGCTCCGTGGGGAAGATTTACCCTGAGACAAATAGTGAACAGAGTGGGGATTTCAGAAACAGATAAAAAGGTACAAGGCAAGGTGGTCCCAGTATCAGAAAATATTCTGCTGTGGGCAACTCAATAATCTCACAGGTAAAACATGTAATGTCAAATTGGTGTAAGGAAGAGGAAATATGTGGTGAGACTGGGACACAGATTCTTAGCTGTATTTCCTAGCATGGACGTAAGCTAGCAGAGAAAAGAAGGGGTACAAAGCAGCCTTATATTCCAGGGGAAATGGTGGGACTGGGGATGCACTGGAGTCACTGAATCCAAATTCTTTACTCCTCTTTGCCAGTCCTCTTACAGGGCCAAGGGCAGGCCTCTGTAGTGCGCCAACAAAGAGAGCAGCAGATAGGAGAGCAGGAGCCTTTCCTCAGTCCCTGGTTTTGAGCAGATCCGTGGTCCTCTCTTCACTGAAGATAGAGGCCTGGGTTTCTGCCCATCCCATCCCCACATCATTTTGAGCCCTATGGCCATCCTCCCTGGTCCACCCTCACTACATCCCCAACCCCCCACCTCCAGAACACAAAGGTTTTCAGTTTTTTGCCACAAGGTAATTTTTTAAAATGTGGTTTCTTTGTTTAAAGTTACTAAATTGGTTCATTTTAGTAACACGCCTCCCCCTCCCCTTCCCCCAACTCAGTCCTGTATGATCACATCATCCTCGTCATCGTCATCCTCCTCCTCCTCTTCCTCCTCATCATCCGGCAGTTCTTCCTCCTCTTCTTCTTCATCTTCATCTAGACAAACCACCACCTCCGCTGGCTCAGGTAATCGAGAGTCAAACCAATCCAGTACCTGCTGGGCGCTAAGCCTTGACGCCTGACTCAGCTGAGGGACATCACTTTCCCGCAGTTGCTGATGGGCTGCCCAGTACCTCTCCAAGGGCCGTATGTCTGGGGGGGGTGGGGGGTTTGGCAGAGGCCGTGTCTCAGCCCATTCATTCAAGGAGCGGGTTGAAGGCGGTGGTGTGGGAATTGCTGGGTCCTGAAAACTAGGGGCACCAGGTACTGCATTGTCCCGAAACCATTTTAGTTGCCCATGCTTCAAGGCATAGCGTGTGTCACCAAACCACTGAATAATCTCAGGCCGGGGTAAACCAGTGATCTGTTCTAATTTATGGTAATCCTCACGCCGTGCCCACTGGCACTGTAAAAAAAACGATTTGAGGATAGCCAGCTGCTCTTTGGTTTTGCGCTTGGTCTTTCGCTGGCGTTGCATATCTGGGGAAAGGTACTCTGCAGGGCCAACCCTACCTGGTACAGAGTTATGCCTTAGCCCCTGCGGCCAGGCTGGCTCCATATGTGGGGGTAGTGCCTGTTCACTGGGCGACAGTGGCTGTGGGATACAGCCCAGTGGCTGGTGGGGTTTAGAGGTGGCAGTAGCTCCATTAGCCAGTACCTGGAAAGAGGAAGAGGTAGAGGAAGGAGTCACTTTAGTTGCTGACTCCTGTTTACACCTACTGGCAAGTAATGAGACTGGTGGGGGCTTGTCCCGAGTATGTGGCTGCTGGACAGATGGGGAGTGGTTCCAGGAAGCAGTACCTAGACTTTGTGACTGGTTGGGACCCCTGCCTGCCTGTTTCTTAGAGAGGCCACTGCTTTGACGATCCTGCCAAAAATCTGATTGGCATGGGACTGCCCCACTTCCTGGTGCCATTGGGGGCTCCTTTGCTTTCTGGTGACTCAGTGGCTCGGAGGACTCCTCAGGCTCTACCTTCAATGCTTTCTGGGTGGGCTCGCTAAGAGCCAGGGGCACTATTCCAAGACCAGTTGGTTCTGGTGGTGGCACTTGTGGAGGCGGCACCTCCTCTGGGGGCCTTCCTGCATGATGAGTAAATGAGAGAAGGGATTTGAAATGGAGTTGATCGCGATGATAGACGACTCGCGCGCGGGTCTCTTCTATTTCTTCAGATGACCAGCTAATGCCACAGCGAAGGCGCTGAGCCATGAACCAAGTCTTGACTTTCTCCATCTGCAGCCCATACCGTAGGCAGAGAAGGGCAATGTCTGCTAGACTGGGGTAGGGAAAATAGCTGAAGGTTTGTAGCAAATGTTCATTGCCATCCAGCTCGCTGGTCTGGGCTGCTTGGGTCCACACAAGCTGTAGCTCTTCAGAGATTGGAGGGAGGCAGATGAGCCCCGCAGGGGAGCTATTAAGACTGCTGGCCTCTTTATTAGGAGGCATGGTGCTTCCAGATTTGTGCCCTTCACAGATTGCTGTAATAAGAAGAGAAACAGCTTAATCACTGGGGCTTCTCTCTTGGGCTACTGGTCAATTTCTACCAAACAAACCGTTGGACTCCAAAACAGCCAACTTTCTATGTGTATGTACTGGATTGCTTTTAAAGTGCTTTAGTACTTTTTAATTTAGCTTTCATAAATTTACAAAATCATCAGAACCTGCTATAATTCCCACTGAATGTGTGAAAAACCCAAAGTCCGAAGAAGTTAAATTACTCCAAGTCACATGACTGGTGAGTTTTAGAAGTTATGAAGGAAGAAAACATCCTTATATAGCCTTTGTTTTTCTAATTCAAACTCACTCCACCCTCTTAAGTTCATGGAATAAGAGTCTTAAGTGAAGACTCAACCACAGAAACAAGGGGAGCAATTATCTCAGAACTGTTACAAATGCTTTATCTCCTAACAATTTATGATAATCTCTAAAATGTGGATGACTATCTAGAAGGTACACAGCTGCCTAGCCCCCTTTTCTTTTCTTTTTTGGGGGCGATGCGTTGGGAGGGGAAAGATAGCACCTTTAAAGCTCTAAGCCTCAAGCTGATAGCTTTATTTTTTCCATCTCCCAGTAGGGGGAGAGAGATAGGTCAGACATCTGAGATAAACGGGGCTTACTCCCCCAGGGTTTAGGGTGAGATTAGGAAGAAGGAAAGGTTTCCTCCCCTAAATCATCCTCAAACAAAGGTTATCCCCTCCCCCAGCCTTTGTCTCTTCCAACTGCTGTTTCTCTCCAGAGAGCTCCCTTAGATTTTAACAACCCCCTTTACTGAGGGCAGGCGGAAGGCTGCAGCTCTTATCTCTTTCGTCCAGCTTTCTTCTCAGGACCAGGTGGGCAGGCTTATTAAAAATTGTAAACAGGTCCTGCAAGCTAACCAGTATAGCACTACTGCTTCCAGGGTTATTTATGGGTGTGGGGACTTCCGGGATAGCCCCAAACTGTGCTTCATTCCTGAAATACCTGTTCAAGTTATTGCCCAGAATCAATCTGTGGGCTGAATTTTAACTCAGCTCCCTGTGTGGAAATGAGAGACTAGTAACACATCTGTTACCCTTTACTGTAGAGGAATCCTGAGTTTATAGGTAACTACTTTTGATATGTTAAGGAGCGATCATAACGGCAGTACACCTTGTAGAGGATCTTAAGAGAGTAAATTCAGGCAGCATGGCAGAGTGGGTAAAAATAAGATTCTTGAGTAGAGACAACCTGCATTTCCCCAATTCTGCCACTTACTGGCTATGTGATCTTGGGCAAAAGTTACTCAGCTTATTTGACCCCCACTTTCCTCATGTATAAAAAATGGGCAGTGCTGAGTGTATGTAAACTCATAATTTTGTCTGCACCTTCTATGTATAGGCAGGGCCTAACACAGCTATTAGAGGCGGAGGTCTGGAGTGAGGCAGATTTGAGATAAATCACAAAGCCTTAGTTTCCCATCAGGAGGAAAAAAAGGCTCTAATAGCACCTACCTTGCAAATTAATGACTAAATTAAAAAATGCAGTTGACATATGCCTAGAACAAAGTAAAGGCTCAATAAATAGCAGCTTTTATCATTACTTCAGCTTCTTGGGATGATTCTGCTATAAGGTGATGCTCCTGCTCAAGAGAGGAAGTTAGGCAAAGAGTGAATCCTTTAAAAATCACTGTTTTATAACTCTTTTTTGCAGAGTTCTGATTCTGGGTAGAGGAAACCAGGGTATCTATGCTTTTATGTTTTTTATATTTAGGGAGTTAGCTATCATTCCAGAATGAATTTTGCCACTTTAAAAATAAAAAGGATGATAATCGCTGCTTTAGGAAAATTGAATCCATGATTTAGATATAAATCTTTTTTGATTGCCAGGTGAATTACCAATGTAATTACCAATTACCAATTGGTAAATATCCCTGCCTTATCCTCAAGGTTCATCCCAGATAAGGCTGAGCGGCCTGTGAGAAACTGTTTGTGCAGCCAGGTGCAAAACCACCGTTGAGAAATAGTGGCTCACCAGAAACACCTCCAAATCTAAGCTAGAAAATACTTTATGATTGCAGCACTTGGCATCTAGGTAACCTTATTTGTGTCCTGTTCTTTAAGGACATAATAACACTTTAGATATGAGGAAAATGTAAGAAATAAGGCAGTTCAGTGTGAGGATGAAGCCTACCAGATGGACAATGAGTATTTTCTTTCATTTTAGGTGGTTTGCTATCCTTCAGATACTTATGGAATCAGCTTGATATTTCGGTCTAACATGCAATAAGGCAAAGAACATTCGTTGTACTCTATACATCCAGAATTTCCCTACACAAAATACAAATTGTAGAAGACTTCTTGATCTTGAATTGTAATTTAAATCAAGGCACAGCTATATAGTTGGTACCTCCTTGGAAGAATTTGTAGGAAGGCACTATAGCCAGAGTGGCACATGAGAACTATAACAAGTAGGGTAGACCCTACAGTAAACAAAAAACACAATGAAGGCCCTAATAGCTAGTGTTCTTGTGCTTCCATTTTGGAGATGATAGAAACAGAATCAAAACAGGAGAAATAAGGGCTCTTAGGACAGAAGTGCTGGTGAAATATCAATTCTGAGTAAATGTTAAATTTGTATTAAATATGCCAGATAGGGGCCTCCCTCATGGTGCAAGGGATTAAGCACAGCACTGTGAAGCTATCCACAGCCTCTGCAGCATGAATTCGATCCCCAGCCAGCCAGGGAGCTACCCACATGGTGCAGCAGACCTCTCCTGTCTCACCCCCTGCTCCCCTCAGCAATATATTTCAGTGTGTCTGCCTGTTCTGCTCCCTACTCTGTCTCTGGTGAATCCTCTCACCTCCCGCACCTCTGGCCTGTACCCCAGTTCTTGTATGCATAAATAAATAAATCTCTTAAAAATAAATAAATATGCCAGATAGGTCCAACTGCTACTTAAAGCCACTAGTAAAAAAAATAGGATAGTACCCTTCTTTCCCTTTGGGCTTTTCATACCCATGGGCACCTCACAAAGAATGGATTGCCTTAAACATCTAGATGTTGACACAGTCCTAGGAAAAGGGAACTTGAGGCTTGAACTTAGGCTTATGGTAAAATAGTTCAAGTGAGAGACTAGGTATTATCCTGCTAAATTCCCTACAGCCTTATTCAGAGAATAAAGCTGCCCAAAGTGTGTCTTGGTAATAATTTTAAGGAACTTAAAGGACTTTTAGTGAGGTTAAACATGTGCTGCTTAACTTTTTGGATCATAGTCCTCTTTGAGAATGAGTTCAAAGTTAGGGACTCTCAGAAAGTTATGGCTAGTCCCTACAAGTAAACAGTCAAACTTACACATTATTTATACACACACACACTCTCTCTCTCACATGATTCACTGATGGCCCAGAAATCCAGATTAAGAATCTCTGCCTTGGGCCTCCCCGGTGGCGCAGCGGTTGAGCGCTGGCTTGCGAAGCTGCCCGCAGCCTCTGCAGCGCCGGTTCAATCCCCGGCTGCTCCCCGGCCTCCGGAGGAGGGTCCCACATGGCACGCAGACCTCTCCTGCTGCCCGCTGCTCCCCTCAGCAGTGTGCTTGGGTCCTTCTGCCTGCTCTGCTCCCCGCTCTGGCTCTGGTGAATTCTCTTCACCCTCCCGCGCTTCTGACTGTACCCAGTGCTTGTATAAATAAATTTTAAAAACATCTTAAAAAAAAAAAAGAACATCTTAAAAAAAAAAAAAGAATCTCTGCCTTATGTCCTCCTAGCTTAATAAAGGCAATGGTGGTAACAAATTGCTTAGAGGAACAAACACTTGATGTAAAAGAATGGAAAGAGTGGATGGAAGATCCAAGAGATTCTGAGTAAGTCTGTAAGGGGACTGCGTATGAGTGATATGACTGCTGGGGAGAGTATAAGGGGGGGAGTGTTGAACTGGACTCACCCACAATATTGGATACTACTAGAGGCTGGCAGGCTACTCTCTTGTGTCCTAATCATCTGCTTTCTTCATCTGCCCTGTATGCTTGGGTCAATTGTGTGTAATTCCAAACCCCTGACAGCCTGGTCTTTCTCTATTTATACAATAATGTAATTAAACATCACATAAACCTGTGAACAATTTAGTGCATTAAAAATGAAATGAAAACAAAATCAAATGCTTTAAAAAACATAATACAAAGAAGTGTACCTCTTGATGAGTTGGGAGTGGGCAGTTACACCTGTACAAGACTGAAGGAGCAGAGGAAAACATTTCAGAACTACTCTACACCCGGATGCTTCAATAATGTTTAAGTTCCCACCCCACTTTAACTAAACCAAAACTAAACCTTGAAATCATAGATGATGAGAGGCAGAGGCTCTCCTCGCAGACTGCACATTAGGTTACCTGTGAAACTTAGGGCACCCTCATCCTCATTCTGAGTTCATCAGTCTGGCCTGGGACCCAGGCATCAGTAGCTTAAAAAAGTTCTCAGGGTGCAGCCAGATTTGAGACTGATGTGTGTAGTTTATGCTAGATACTCAGTTGGGAACTCCAATCAGCAGACTACACAAAGAAGACGTCTCTATCCTCCAGCCCCCTACACACACCCCAGCAAAGACTGGTGAAATGAATGTACTTTTAATGACAATGCTTAAGATACGTATCATTTTAAAAATTCCCAACTTTTAATTGGCATTTGGGGTTTTTCAATTACTGTCCTTTCCCTATCCTAAAATATAATTTAAAAGGGCTTCAAATGTATGGTGAGGAGGAGGTTCCTATGAAAAAAGATCTCCTGGGCTGGGCCCATATTACCAAACAGGTCCCAGCTTGAGTTTTCTTCTTTCACTTTAGAAGTTTCAGATTAGGTCGTAACACCGGGAACCTCCGAGGACTCGGGTTCTCATCTTTTCCTGGTTTTCTGAGTACTCCTGGGCAGGGGGTGGTCAGAAGGGGCATCTCTACTGAACCTTTCATTCCCAAAGGCCACTGCTCCCCCAGCAGTCAGTCCAGGTCTCTGTAAGTGTTGAGGTCCCCAGGAGGTGGTCGTGGGGGATGTGGGGGGGAGGCCTGGGAAGCAAACATTTCTCCTAAGCCTCCATATCAAAGGCAACCTAGTAGGCTCCAAACAGGGTCAGAGAACAAAAGTTGCACTTGGGGCGATGAGCCCCAGGGAGCAGGCCAATCTCATCCTCCCCCTCTCCAAGGGCGTCCCAACCCAGCATTCTCGTCCTCCCTACACACCCACTCACCCTCCCCCGGTTGCAACGGGGAACCGAAAAGTCTAAAGGAGAGAGAGAGAACCCGGCGACTTCAAACCTGGAATTCTCCCCCCAGCGCGGGGATGGGGCTTTAGAGGTCGGAGATCGTATTGGGCTGGGAGGGGAAGTCGAAGGGGCTGGGGGTCACTCACCGCTGTCCGGCCCGGGCTGCGGCTCCCAGCCTCGCACCATGGGCCGGGGGTAAAGGGGGAGAAAGGGCAGGGGGCCTCCGGGGTGGGAGTGGGGTTGCTTCCCGGTGCGGCCTGCTCCGAGCCCACCCTCGCGGATGGCGGGGACCGGGACTTGCCCCTCCCGCCCCCGAGAGCGCGCCCGTCTCGCCCAGCCCAGCTCCAGCGAGTTGGAGGCGGGGCGGATGGGTGGGGCGGGCGCTCGGGGGCGGTGCCAGGGCGGCACGAGTCCTGATTGGCGAGTGCAGGCAGGCGGGCACCGGAGGAACGCGGTGGACGGGCTATTGGTTGCGTGGTTCTCAACTGAACCCCGCTATTGGCTGCGTGAGTCTCAGCCGGAGAGGCTATTGGGTGCGGCAGGCAGGGAAGATGTCCCCCAGGGCCAGGGCGCCGCGAGTGGTACCACCCCCCACCTTCGACCTATCCGCGCCGGACCTTCTGAGTACACCCGGCGGTGTTCTTCCCCGAATTCCGCAGAGAGAGTTCATTTTGCTGAACTGTCCGGACCGCCAATAGCTCCATTTATTTCTTCTTGAAGGAAGACCTTTTCAGCACCCCCTTGCCGTCCTTACGCACGAGCCGCGCCTTCCCAGTCCAGGGCCCAACCTCCGTCACCAGCGTCACGGTAAACCAAGCACCCAGAGCAGTCGGGAACTTGTTGAGATGGATCAAATGTCTTGACAACCGGAAAGACGAGGATCCTAGGAGTCTCACGCCTTCGGCGGCTTCCTGGATCCAGTTGGCACCGGACACTTGTTCCCAAAAACAAAGTGCCGGAAAGGACCTCTGTGGGACCTAGCAGAGCCCCAGACCCCTCGCCCTCCCTCCTCTAGGTCGTATTTGGGGTCTTTGGTTTTTGCTGTCAAGAGATACGATTTTCAACCAGAGTGGTACTCTATACACGCCGAAGTACTGGGCCAAAAGTTTGTATAGTCATTCTCAGTCTTATAAAACTTGGGAACAATACACTTTCTGAAGTTACTCTTCTGTTCATAGGCTAGTCTTTGAAAAAGTCTCTACTTGCCTATCTGAGTCACTTAATACCTTACACAGGTATTAAAAGTTTATTAAATAATTTCAGACTTCCATCTTATATACTACACACCTCACTCACCCCTCCCCATGGATCCCCCTTCTCCCAAACCAATCACCATAACTATTACTTCTGATTCCTGACTGCCCCACTCTAAGGTCTGGACCTCTTTCAGGGTTGCCAGACATCAGAAAGAGATCTACCTCAGCTCTGTGCCCTATTTTCTTTTGCCGGGATTTGCCCCTGTCACCCACTTCGTCTCAATGCATTTAGTAACGATTTCAATTAGGAGCTAGCCTCTGTCTGCTCCAAAGGAATATTTAGCAAAAACAAAGGAGTAAGCAACCAAAGACACATAATACTGTGCTATAGAGTTAGAAATGTTTGATCCCTTGGAGTTTAAGCCAGGGCTGGAGGTATATACACCCTAATCATTATTACTATGCCCCCAGAGGCTGTTATGTAATGAAGGAAGAGTGAAACATTTTAGGCAGCAGTAGCTCTATTTTCAGTGGAGAGGTCATTGTCTCATGAGCCAAAGGAGACTGGATTGACTGGGAAAAACTCAAGCTTCTTAGACTGGAAAGCAAGAAGGAACAGTCTGTGGAAACTTAGCACCTGTTCCTGGAGGACACAGTCACTCTCTCTGAGCATCATTGATCATGGACTGGAATTATGAAAGGTAGATAACTTAGCCACCTTTGTTGTCTCAGAAAGGCACTTCCAAGAGTGAGGAGTAGAGAGGAACTGAAGACAGATTTAGGGGAGAAAGTATCCAAGGAGAGAGAAGAAATTGTTCTGCCCCAGTTCTAGAGTCCAGGCTGATTCCTCCCTTTTTTTTTTCTTTTCTTTTTTTAAAAAGATTTATTTATTTATGCATACAAGAACTGGGGTACAGGCCAGAGGTGCAGAGGGGTGAGAGGATTCACCAGAGACAGAGCAGGGAACAGAACAGGCAGAGCGACCGAAACATGAAAAACACTGCTGAGGGGGCATCAGGCAAGCCGGGAGAAATTTGCTGAGCCATATAGATAGCTCCCTGGCCGGGGATCGAACTCATGCTGCAGTGGCTATGGACAGCCTCACAGGTTGCGTCTTAACCCCTTGCACCACCAGGGAGGCCCTTAAGTAGGTAATTTTTTTTTTTTTTTAAAGATTTATTTATTTATTTATACAAGCACTGGGCACAGTCAGAAGCGTGGGAGGGTGAGAGAATTCACCAGAGCCAGAGCGGGGAGCAGAGCAGGCAGAAGGACCGAAGTACACTGCTGAGGGGAGCAGCGGGCGGCAGGAGAGGTCTGCGCGCCATGTGGGACCCTCCTCCGGTTGCTGGGGAGCAGTCGGGGATCGAACTGGCACTGCAGAGGCTGCGGACAGCTTCGCAACCCAGCGCTCAACCGCTGCGCCACCGGGGAGGCCCAGGTAATTTTTTTTTTTAAGATTTATTTATTTATGCATACAAGAACTGGGGTACAGGCCAGAGATGTGGGGGGTGAAAGGATCCACCAGAGACAGAGTGGGGGACAGAAACATGCAGACTGATTGTAATACACTGCTGAGGGGAGCAGCGGGCGAAACAGGAGAAGTCTGCTTCACCATGTGGGTTTCCCCCTGGCTGGCTGGGGATTGAACTCATGCTGCAGAGGCTGTGGATTGCTTCATAGTGCGTTGCTTAACCCCTTGCACCATGAGGGAGGGCCATTAAGTAGATAATTTTTAATGTAATTTTTGATTTTGTGATATTGTCAAAGTTTCAGACTCTTAAAAACTATAAATTTTATCTCATTCTAACATATATTTATTCACCTTTGTGCCAATATATTTTTGCTAAAAAAGTACTCTTAAGTTAAAAAAAAAAGACTCTAAATGTTACGGGCTTCAGGCACCCTGAATCTTGGGTCTACCCTTGGGGTTTATGAAAAGGATATGGTAAGTTTCTGCCCAATTTAGGGGAACCCTGCTCCAGTGTTCCGTGCTCTGTCTCCTGAGAAATTCCAGAGCTGAAGGTTGACCATCAGAACAGCATATATGTAGGATTTGGGATAGTACAAGCTAAAATGAAGGAGTTGGTGGAAGATTTCTGATAAATCTACCACTTAACAAAGATGTGAGATTTCTGGAAAGACATTAGGGTCATAGGGGAACCCTAGGTCATATGCCCTGGAGAGAACTCCTGGAAAGGCTGACTTACCTCTCCGTGGGTGTTTGTTCCTCATGCTGACTCTACCCTTCAGCATATCTGGTTCCATTTACAACACATACTGAGTGTGGGTACTTTGCAGTGACATCACAATTTGACCATTATGATGTAATGAGGAGGCACCTGATTATTCTTGGGCTAGGACTTTCCTACTAGAAATGTCTCTTATCACTTTGAGGGTAATTGGATTCTTTCATCATTCAGGTGATATGAGAGTCAATATTGTTAGCTCTTGTTCTTTTTTGACAATGTCTCCCTTTAATATCTATTTTAATCACTCCATATGGATTAGACCAGGGCTCCTTGCTTTTCCTGTCATACTTTTTGTCCTTTATTTTTTGGGTTGCCTTTGATAGGGCTAAGACCTTTACTCATCTTCAGTGCTTAAGGAGTAGACTGTAACTTAAATGGCCCTCCCCAATGGAAGAGCTCCCCTACAAGTGGAAGTAAGATTTTGCCCAACCTGTTACCTTTAAGTGCATCAGCAGTTGGTCCTGGGTGCCAGGGAACAAAAGCACTGGGTCCTGGTAACTTTCCCTACCACTACCCAAAATGGTGGGATTCTGTTGCCATGTCTCACACCAGGACTGCTCAGTGCCTCCAGATCTTCTTCCCACCCAACTTTTGCATAGCCAAAGGATTCCAGCAGACAGGAAATAAAGAGTTTTAAGAAATGAGATAACCAAGAAAAGGGGGGTTGGGATAACTTACCACCCTCAACCCCAAACAAACAATACTGTCCAATATTTTATACTTTATTTTCATGTTCCAACTTTATTTCAAATACATGTATGAGATCTTTAATCAAGAAGGAAGGGCAGCTGCATGAAGAAGCTGAAGTTAGGCACAGTTTTAGTGGGTTTGTTCCCAGTGAGGGCTGCACTGTGAAGGGGGTGTTTCCCTGATGGTCTAGTGGTCTTTGGGGGGTTCACATAACAAACTTTGATTTCCTCCCAAGGTTAGCTATTCAATTGCTCTCTTTTTTTCTTTTTCTTTTTTAAAATCAAGGTCACTGTTCTTCAGGAATATAACCCAAAGTGGAAGGCAGGGAACACAGAAAAATTACATGTCCCTTTTCTCTTTATACCAGGATGGGGAAGGGAATGGAAGCCAGCTGCAGAAAATGAAACATTTCTGATGTTATCCCTTGCCCGGAAGAATTATGGGTCTCACTGTATAGAGGCCTGTTCCACAGCCAAGGACTCAGCACTACCTCAATCGACACTAAGAAACTTTCTGACCCTGAGGGAGTTACTTCTCATCTCTGCACCTGTGTGCTCATCTAGAGGAACCTGGATTCAGTGATCTCAAAGACAAGTCTTATCATGTTTCTGACTTTATAACCTGCAGAGTGCAAAGATCCAGAGGAGTGCCACAGAAAAACAGGCGTTAGAAACAAGGGAATGTGTAGTTAGAATGGGAAATTAAGGTGTGAGGGCTTCTTATGAAGAGAAATGATGAGCTACATCCATAAAGAGAAACAAAGGGACAGGAGGAAGACTTAGACAGGTAAGTGTAGGAAGACATCTGAGGTATGGATGAAAGTGTTCCTTTGTTGCGTCAGGGCCTTAAGTTATTGACCAAGTTAATTACACCATTTCCCAGTGTGTGCCTGACATGTTTTACCGTAAATTGTTCTTGTTCACAGTCATCAGCCTTAAGAGGAAAGTCCCCACCACCATGCCTAACACGTCTCTAAAGACTCTACCAAACTCAGTGTTTCCCATGTCAGATCAGACTATTAGTTTATCCCCATAGCTCTACAGAGGAAGAACCAGAAGACTCATGCTGGTTCTGTAAAGCTGAGAATATGGTCATAGGTGAGCCCTGGTACTTCTTACAAGGAAAGAGTTCAGGGCACAGTGGATTATCACTGATTCCCTCAACCAGCTTACACTGATCCACTCAATACTAGGTCTCCCAGGAACGGCCCAAGCACAGAGCATCCAGCAGTTGTCCTAGTCCAGGCCTTGCCAGCGAAAATCTTAGAGAGCTGGCCTGTTCAAAGTCAGTAGGAAAAATGGGAAGGGGCACGCACAACACACCAATAGCTGTGGAGGGGTGGCTAGGCCCAGGAAAAAATCCCAGTATATGGAAAGGTTGGAGTTCAAGTGGGTTCCCAAGCAGGCGTGTGGTCCCTTGCTGATCCTGCAGAGCTGGGACACTGGCACAGAAGACAGCAGCAAGCTCCTGGGAGAAGCAGAGGAAGTTTGGGACCCCCAGTACTTTGCAGTTCCGGCCAGTTCCGGGGACTGGGAGGATGGGAAGGCACAGCACAATTAGAAACCACGGGCTTTTCCTAACAATAGATGACATATGGCAAGGTTTTAAATCCCGTTTTTAGATGAAAAAGATAGAACAGAGTAGAGGCCTTGAAGATCCTGGATTCATCATCTTAGCTCTGCTGTTAACCTGCTGTATCATCATGGACAAATTCCTGCGCTTTTCTCAGCCTGTTTCCTTACCTCTAAAACAGGGCAAGGATGACATTATCCAACTCATAGGACTATAAGGTGCCAAATGTTAGTAAGTAAATGTGAACTATTACTATTGTTAATATAGCAGTAACATACATATTAGGCAAGAAATTATTACACAATGAGTCTCAACCCATTTTTCCCTCCATTACCCTCCCTTGGGCTCTTGATGACCAAAAAGTGCACTGCTTGGTGGCCTCCAGTACAGTTTCTTCATTCTGCTGGAACTGACCTGACGGTGATTCACAAGCTGTATGAAATTCTGTTTTCAACAGATAAGGATGGTGTTTAAATGGGCATTTGTGAGGAATGACTCAGGGTTCCTCTTTCAGTCCCCTTTCTTCAAAGGATTAAGGCTTTGGACAGTAGTGGCACGGTAACAAGCCCTAAGCGCTATTCCGAATACATGTACGGACACAGGTGCATGCATTCTATCTCACTTAGTGGAAAGAAAGATTATTCTTTGAGAAAGTGGTAGCAGATAGAAAAGGGTGTGGGGAGCTGGTTACCTGGGAGCTCCTTGTTCATCTGCAGCCTCAGGATCTGCTTCTTTTCCCTCTTCTCCCTTCTAGAAGACTGTCAAGGAGCCTGAGAGAGGAAGGTGGCTCAACCATGGTCTTGGAGGAAAGGAAGTAGGTTCTCCACCCCTTCTGAAGGGAGAAGGAATAGGAGAGATCAACAAGGATGAAGAGGGAGACAAATGGAAATAAGAGAAAATGGAGGTAAAGGCCCTATATGCTGAAAGAAAAATGATGAAATGAGATGGACAAGGAAAGAGGAAGCAAAGAGCTTATGAATAGGTCAAGAGGAAAGGAAAATCAGAAAACCAGCAGATGAGTAACTCATGTTCAGGTTAACCAAGAAAGATGTAAGGCATGAATGTGAATGGGGAGGAGTGCAGCTTTCCCATTTCACTTGCTCAGGATATGGAGCAGAATGCCATCTTCTGGTGCCATTTAATTTTCAGGTTGCTTAGATTCTTGATTTGAGAAGTTCTCCATTTCTTATACTCATAATCCTTTATCCTCAAGAGTCCCAAACACTGTTTATCTTTGGGGCTCCCAAGCATCATTTTCCCCAACAGAGATGCACCTCCCCAAAGCTGTCTCAGGCTGAAGTCTGTGGGTAAGAACAAAAAGCATGGGACAGACGATGAGCTGTGGTTTCATAGACGCCCTGGATAAATATTTTGAGGCTGCATGCTTGTTATGGGATGCTTCCTGGGCTTTGGAACTTCAGGGTCAAAAACTCAACCCCAACCAGTTGCTGGGGGGAGAGAGGTGCTGTGTGTTCTGAACTGTTTCATTCCAACTGTAGGTTGGAAAACATGGCTTCTACTCTACATGCTACCACTCGCAGATCACAAAATGTCACAAGAGGTCACCTAATCCAATTCCAACTTCCTAAAGAGGAAATTGGGACCCAGAGGCAAACTAAATTGCCCAAAGTTATACGGCTAGTCAGTGATTCATTCTTCTAAGGCAGAAATAAGAATATTATCCTGATTCACTGTCTCTTGATAAATAATAAATACAATCCATAAAGTGCTTAGATGTCATTAAAAGGCACCCCAGAAAAGTAAAGCTGGCACTTTTCTGGAATCCCCTGAGTGCAGCAACCCCTTAGACAAAGTACCATTTGGCCACAAGGAGAAGCCTGGCTTTGCCTTTATTTTAATCCCCAGGGCTGCTTGAGGAAAGAGCTGCCCAAGCCACTCCATGGACACTGAAGCCAGGGGTCCAGCAGGTGAGACAAGGGAATCCTGTCATAATGCCAGGGACTGGGGAGCAAGTTCCTGGGGCCTATGCTGGGTAGTGATGGCCGGCTTAAAGCTAGGATAGGCAGAGCTGGTGGACTTGAAGTGGCAGCGGCAGGTAGAGGGGATGAGCCATCAAATCGGGTAACTTCCCACAAAAATACCTCAACCTCAAAGAGCTGCCCTAACCTCACTGCCTAGGCCTGAGGAACCCACTCATGGAAGAGCATGTCATCATCCCCATCATTCTGCTTTTTTCTCATTTTCCAACGCCCTTTCCGGTCTCCTTTCCAGGCCATGTGCTCGTTCCACTCCTCCCACCAGTGTTTTCCACCCCAATCTCCCCGGCTTGTGACTCCGCCCACGCCCCTCATCCCTGTGCCTTCTCCCGTCCTCCTCTCCCTCCCCCTCTGGGCTTTCTCGGACAGTCCCTGCCAGTCTCGGTTCCTCCCACTGCTCCCCGCCGAATCTTCGGGCTCCCCCAGCCCTCGGGCGCCTTTCGTGTTTGCCGCCGTCGGCCGCAGCGTCTTAGATAAAGTGAATCCAGCCCTGGGGCTCCGGGGCTCCGCTAATGCCCGGGTACTCCGGCCCGCGGAGGGCATAGTCGCGGCCGCCGTTGTTATCCCAGAACTCGTGGCCGGTCACGCGGTAGCGCAGCGCGAAGAGCAGGGCGCCCCCGAGGGGCGGCGCGGGCAAGCGGAAGGCGAAGCGGTCGGCGCGCGGCGGCGGCGGGGCGGGGCCGGCGTAGGCGGCGGGCGCCTCGCGTTGGCTCCGCCAGCCGTCGGCGCTCCAGCGCACGCTCACGCGCTTCTCGTAGGCCAGGTCCAGCACGCGCGCGCTCCCCGCCACGCCCAGCGGGCCCGCCTCGGCGCGTTCCAAGCAGATGCGCTGCGCCTGCAAGCGGGCGGCGAAGTCGGGCTCGCTGGCCGGCTCCAGGGCGGCGCGCGCCTCCTGGTGGGGGCGAAAGGAGGAGGGAGCCCGGGTGAAAAGAGGGGAGAGGCAGGGGGCGGGGCACGGCGCTGGGTCCACTAGGCCGACCCGGCGTCCGGGCCGTCGGGGTGGGGCCCCGCTGGGAGAGACGTGCAACTAGGAACCCCAAAGGGGACGAGCAGGAACCACCCGGGCTTGGGGATGGGGATGCGTGTTCCTCGATAAATCGACTCCCAAACGCCCGCCGCGGCAGGGTGGGCCTGGGGGGGGGGGCGTGCCTGGCCGCCTACCTGGAGGCCGCGGGCGCGGGGCTGGCACGGCGCGAAGTGGCGGAGGGCGTCCCTCTGCAGCTGCACCTGCACGTGGCGAGGCACCCGGGGCAGCTCCCCGGGGCGGAAGCGGCGCACGGCGGCCAGCTCCAGCCCCAGCGCGTCGGCGAAACGCACTCTCTTGCGGGTATCGGGGCTGCGACTGCGGGGCGCCCGGGCTGCTCCGCCTCCAGCCGGCGCAGAGCGGGCCCGGCGCCCCCGACTCGGAGCGTGAGTGCGGGACCGGGCCCCGAGCCGCGTCCCGCCCTCGCCAGGCTCCTCCTCCGGCTCCTCCTCCAAGCTGGGCCGCTGGCTGCGGTAGTAAGCGCGCTCGGTCAGAGCAGCGATGAAACTCAGGTTGCGGGGTATGTCGGTGCGGGGGGGCCGCTCGCGAGACATGGCACCCCCCGCCCCGGCGGGTCCTGCCTGCAGCTCCCTTCCTCTCTGCTGTCCGGCCGGCGTCCGCACAGAAGCCACGGGACCCGCTTCAGCTGCCCTTCCCTTTTGCGTACTCTCCTTGCTGTCACCTCCAGAATCCTCCACCTCCTGTATCTCTGCCTCGCCTCGGTGACCACCTTTCTCTCCTAGCCGTCAGTTCCCAGGTCTTAGGCCTCCTGCAAGCTTAGGTCTCCTGTCTCCTGCAAGCTGTCTGCTCTGAGCGTGCGCTCAACGGCGTTCACTTCCCGGTCCCGCGGCCCTCTCGGCCTGGCCCCCGCCCACAGCCCTCTGACAGGTGGCTCCCCATCTGTCTCATCCGCTGCTGCTGCTGCTACTGCTGCTGCTCCAGGGGGCGGGGACTCCACCTTTTCTGTCCTGAGGCCACTCTGCCCTTTTTCCCCCCTTTATTTTAATGACTTTGGCCTCCCTGGCACGGGAAGAGTTAATGCGTGGAGGAAAGAATAACCTTTCCTTTTCTTGCAGGGGAAGGTTCAAAACGCCCAGTTGTGTTACTTTATCTTTAGGGCTCATGTTGGAAGGCTACAGATTTGGAAGATGGGTGGCGGTGGTGCCAAAGGAAGGTCAGGAAAGTTAGGTAGTCTCAACTAGAAACAGGTGTAACATTCAAAAGAGAAGGTGACCATTTAAGAAGGATACCTGAACTGAAAATTGTGGGGAGACCTAGCTTCTGGTCCCACAGCCATTTGATGGTGCAAGGCACAATTTCCCTGGACTACAGTTTTCTCCTCTGTAACAAAAGAAAAAAAAAAGATGGATTATCATTTTTGATGGCTAACCACTATAAGCCCTTTGTGGGCAGAGATTGTGCCTGATTCATGGTCAGTTTCAGCACACCGTGGGCCCTCAAACTGACTGAGTAACCACATAACTCTTGGAGCTGGAATAGGGCAGTTCTAGTTCCCAGGAGGACTCAGAGCTGGCTTTTTTCTCCATCTTTTTCTACATTAGTGAAAAAATAGTGTTTAGTTTTTTCTAACTTCCTTGGTGATTTTATATATCAGACACAATGTGCTTGGTACAGTTGTACGAATTTTACAGCCATCATAGGAGTAGGAAATAATAGGGCCATTTTACAGTTGAGAAAATGAAAGGAAAGGGCATAGGATTCTTGCCCAGGGTCACATAGATAATAATTGAGAAGCTGAGATTAGAACCTCAGCAGTCTGACTCTAGAAGCTGCTCCCTATCCATTTGGTTCTGTAAGATTAAAACATTTAATGTTAATAGTTAATATCTTCAGTGTATTGAAATGGGGAATCTTAAGAGTAGAAATGGAATTTCTAAATTTAAAATAGCAGGATAGTTTAATGAGGGACTAAGTTGCAAATGAACAGTGAAACATATTCTATAGTCTTATCGCTCAATTAATTCCTATTTGCATTCTAATGGCAGCATTAACCATAGCAATGCTGATTAGCCAGGACTCATTTTTAAAATGATAGCTTTATTTTTATACACATGGAATCTCATACATATTTTTATTATTGTTTAGTGAACATATTGTCTTCATACCTTAGGGTGTAAAAATAATGATACTCTAATTTGTGTTATGGTTAAGTAGGTTAAAACTACCTTGCTCTGGTAAGCTGTATCACTGAAGGAGTAGACAAGGTTCAAGACCTATACAGCCTGAGGTTTTTCATAAAAGTTCTGTTGCCTTCTACCAAAAAAGGTTGTCTATGGTTTGGAGGACCATTTCTTAACTCTGTGATGTAGGTCTGAGAAATCCTTGAGGTATATGTCTTTGGACCAGGTGTAATTTGTGTCGGCCTAGCAACTGTGTTCTCCTGGCTGCTCAGACAGACATTAAACCCTTATTTAAAGTCAACCTTTGTTTCTTACACAATCATTGCAGTTGTCTTCAAATGTCTGACTGTGCCTGATCACTAAGTGGTCCGAGGCATTGAGTGATTTATTCAGTCAGCATTTACTGAGGGCCTATTAGGCCATGAGGACATACAAGTACATAAAATTTAGTTTCTGCTCTCACAGAGCTTATGAATAAATGAGTGGGCAGGCAAATATATTTGGATCCTGATTCTAGTGAGGCAAGCAGGCACAGGGAAGGCGGGGGAACCCAGCAAATCTACTCTTTCCACTTTCTTTTCTCTGGTCTCTCTCTGGCTTTCTCTTGCGGTCTCTCCTCTTTCTAGTCACTCCTCTCCTCTCGTAGCTGTCCTCCTGTAGCCATCTCCCTTCTGTGATGCTGCCCTTCTACCCCAACCCCTCGGCTCAGGTGTGCCCACTCACACATGCCCACACCCATGCTCCAGGTGTCCACAATCAGGCATGCATGTCCCACACCCACATTCCCAAGCACCTTCTGCATTAATGTGAGCAAGGCTGCAGGTGATAGCCACAGAGGTTAGTGGCATAAGAAGCCTGATCCATTCAATCACCCTTCACTGAGACTTACAAGTACTTTTATTTAAGTAAAGTTCTAATTTTTAGGTTTATAAAAAATTAAAGTTTATTTAATCTTTTATTCCACAAGTGAGCATCCATCCATATAGCTCTCTTCAATACTGATTACCTGAAGCAAAAATGTGACCTCAAGAAGCAACACAAGGGCCTCCCTGGTGGTGCAAGGGGTTAAGCGTCAGCCCTATGAAGCTATCTGTAGCTACTGCAGCACGAGTTCAAGGATCTACCCACATGGTGCAGGGATCTACCACATGGCCAAGGATCTACCCACATGGTGCAGCAGACTTCTCCTATCTTGCCCGCTGCTTCCCTCAGAAGTGTATTTCATTTTTTTTCTTTTTTTTTATACAAGCACTGGGTACAGTTAGAACCGCGGGAGGGTGAGAGAATTCACCAAAGTCAGAGCGGGGAGCAGAACAGACGGACTGACGAAATACACTGCTGAGGGGAGCAGCCGGCACGGCAGGAGAGGTATGCGCGCCATGTGGGACCCTCACCCTGTGGCCGGGGATCGAACTGGCACTGCAGAGGCTGCGGGCAGCTTCACAACCCAGCACTCAACCGCTGCGCCACCGGGGAAGCCCAGAAGTGTATTTCAGTAGATCCACCTCTTCTTTTTTTTTTTTAAGATTTATTTATTTATGCGTACAAGAGCTGGGGTACAGGCCGGAGATGTGGGGGTGGGCGGGTGAGAGGATTCACCAGAGACAGATTGGGGAGCAGAACAGGCAGACTAACTGAAATATACTGCTGAGGGGAGCAGCTGGCGAGGCAGGAGAGGTCTGCTGCGCCATGTGGGTTTCTCCCTGGCCAGCCGGGGATTGCTGGGGATGGAACTCGTGCTGCAGAGGCTGTGGATTGCTTCACAGTGCGGTGCTTAACCCCTTGCGCCACCAGGGAGGCCCGATCCACCTGTTCTGTTCCCCACTCTGTCTCCGGCAAATCCTTTCACACCCTGCACCTTTGGCCTACACCCCAGCTCTTGTATGCATAAATAAATCTTAAAAAAAAAAATCAACACAGTAATAAACTTTCAAGTCAAACTGAATTAGATTGAGTCCCAGCTTCACAGCATGTGGCTTTTTTTTTTTTAAAGACTTATTTTAATGCATACAAGAGCTGTGGTGCAAGCCAGAGGCATTGGGAGGTGAGAGGATTCACCAGAGACAGAGTGGGGAGCAGAACAGGTGGATCAACCGAAACACACTGCTGAGAGGAGCAGTGGGCAAGACAGGAGAGGTCTGCTGGGCCATGTGGGTCACCTCCCTGGCCGGGGATCAGACTGGTGCTGCAGTGGCTGGTGATGCTTGGCAGTGCTGTGTCTTTAACCCCTGCGCCACCAGGGAGGCCCAGCATGTAGCTTTGAACCATAAGACACTTCAAGTCTTACTTTCCTCACACTAACACACAATAAAGACTTCAAACTGTGTTGCTACTATTACTGTTACAGAAAAAGCCTTGCTTCTCCTGTGACTATAGTGGCAGATGGGAATATCCAGGCTGGGACTGGAGGTGTAAAAAGCAAGAGGAATAAGCAGGAAAGAAGAATTTGGTTGCTTTTTTTGACCTTTGGTTGGAGGTCCCTCCAGCCAAGCTGGAGGAAGTGCCAGCTGCAAGAGCTGGTACCTGGTATGGGAGGCCCTGTCAGAATGGCTGAGAGTGCCCTCGTGTGGACCAGCGGTGGTTAGGCTTCTTCATACCCTGTGTGAACTGCCCTGTATAAATATATTGCCATGCCTAAATAATAGATATGCATGTGAATAGGTATATATACTGTAATCTGAAAGGATAAACAGCAACTTCCAGAGAGGGAGGTAGGGTTGAGGACTAGTATTTTTCTCTATAGTTTTAAAAATTTTTAATGATGGGAATGAATTCCTGTGTTGGGTAAAAGCAATTAAAAAGAAAATCAATCTGGGCCCACCTGGTGGCACGGGAGTTAAATCTCAGTGCTATGAAGCTATTGCCAGCCACTGCAGAATGAGTTTGATCCCAGGCCAGAGAGCTAACCCACATGGCACAGCAGACCTCTCCCGTCTTGCCCACTGCTTCCCTTAGCGGTGTATTTCAGTGGATCCACCAGTTCTGCTCCCCACTCTGTCTCTGGTGAATCCTCTCACCCTCCCCCCACCCCTTGCACCTCTGGCCTGCACCCCAGTTCTTGCGTGCATAAATAAATAAATCTTTAAAAAAAAATCACGAAGTAGAAAGATGAAGTAGTTTACCTGCCAAAACCACTTGTGATCCAAGTCGTGACTCACTGTGTAAGACCAGCCCTCCTGGCTCCTGATATTCCGAAAGCCCCCTCCCTGCCATGTTGAGTGGTATCAGCCTAGGCTACACTATGGCAGGCGGGTTTGAGTGCTGATCCTGGCACAGGTGTGTTTGGGTTTAGGGAAAAAAAGGAAAAAAACTGGCGGTTTTGAAGATGCATGGGTCAGGTTTAAAGCTGGCTGGTGCCATTCAGAAGCAGCAGAACTTTCCTGTCTAGCTCTGGCGTGGATGGTATGAAGCAGATTTGATGCATTGCTGGTGTTTTCGTCCTGAATCCTGAGCCGGTTTTTAAAATAGATCAGGTTTAAGCTCACATTGGCACCAATTAAGCTCAAACTTGCATGGGCAGGCACCCATCAAGTCTTGGAAACAGCTGGGTTTGAAAATGGACCAATCAGGTTTGAAAAGGCAGGTACCCTGAAGGATGATATAAATTGAGTCTTCATTCAGCTTGGGAGAGGCTTCAGGAAGGTCTTTGCAAGGATCTTAGCTTCAGCTTTATCCAACAGGAGTGCTGCTGGCCTATGCACTGGATCTCTACAGAGCTGTGAATAATACTGGTGCCATGGTCCTCTAGTCACCTCTAAGAGCTGTCTGAACTGGCCTTCGGATTGCTGCAACGCTGCTGCCTTAGCAGTGCTACCCGTGACTACCCTGGCTGCCACAGGTTAGCTGGATCCTTCACTACCTACCGTTGTGGCACCAGTTCTAGGCTCTCATTGGAGGGACAACACTATCTTGTGCGAGCAGCTTTTGGTTGGACACTGTGGACACTATCTGAGGTAGGATAGCTGGATATTTGTGGCCTTATGAACTCTTTCTTTATCCCAGTCTCCTCTTTGTAAATAAAACCAGTTGTTGCACCCTTAGCTTGAGTCATGTTTTGCATTTGTGAGCGCGTGTGTGAGGACCCATGTACTGTGATATATCTCCCCTGAGTTTGCTCACCAGTTACCTGCCTAAAGCCCCAATCCCCAAAGACACCACTGGGCCATGGGTACTGAGGAGAGGATGTGAAATTTTGGTGTCCATGTCGTGTGTGCCAGGCCCCAAGAGCTAGGCACCCGGCTGGGAACTGCTTCTCTTTTCCAGGTGCTCCCTTCAGGACTGGAAAAGTTCAAGAATGTGGATTAGAGACCTTCTGGAAATGCTGAATTTGCTCTGAGATTTTTCTGAGGTGCGGCCAGTTTCTCTGAGCAGCCTGGAGGCTCAGGACCCGGCCTGACCCTCAGAGCCTTCCCCCTGCTCTTCCTGGTCTCCAGCGGCCCTCTGTCTTCCCGACTTGTGGCCCTTCCCAAGCCTGCGTCCCAGCCCCGCCCCTCTCTCTGGACGCATCTCTGGGCCCCATCATCACCCGGCGCCGGGCCCTCCCTCCCGCCCCCCCTTTCTCCTCCCTCCTTCCTTCCCTCCCTTCCTCCCTCTCTCCCTCCCTCCCAGCTCCTGCACCAGGAAACGGCCCGGATCCCAGCAGCGGCCTGACCCGTGAGATCCCTAACCTGGCAGGCAGGCGGGGTTGGAAACAGGCTTAGGGTGGGGGTGAGGGAGGAGCTGGGCCTTTGGGTTGCACTGGGGGAGCCGGGAGTAGAGATGGTGTCGGCAGGAAGCCCTTGGCCCTGGGTTTCCCGGGAGGACAGTCATTAAACATGGATTCGGCCACACAGCTGGTAGAGCGTTGGGGGCAGGGGCCCGGGCCCCAGAGCTGCAACCCCAGCCCTTCTCAGGGCAGACCCTGATCCCTGGCCATCTCAGCCTGGCTCTGATTTCCTCTTCCCCTTCCCAGGGCTCCACGCTGGCCAGGAGGATGAAAGGCCTCAGCTGGGGGCTCCTTGCCACCGGCGCTGGGTCCTAAGAGCTGCCATCCAGGCTGGGTGAGTGTCCTCTTGCTTCTCTGTCCTGGGTAACCCTTTGGCTCTCCCACCTTTCCCTTCAGACCCTGTCTCCTCCCGCATCTTGTGCCTTTGTCAACATCTTCATATCTTACCCTGGGGAAGGTCCTAAGCCCCTTCCTCTAGCCAAAAGTGTGTACTGTGGAAAGGGGGTTGGTAGGGGCATCACATAGCCAGTGTTGGCTTATGGAAAGATTCTAGTGTTTTTAAAATGTTTTTCATATTACAAACTTACTGGCCAGTCCCTCATGCCCTGGCCCCTCACCATGACTTCATTCCCTTGTTCTTGTTTCCCCTGCCCAGGGGTCTCTGAGCATTAACTCCCACCTGCCTTCCTGTCTCACTGTGTTGGCCAAACCTGAAAAATGCCCCTTCTAGGTCTCTGACCATGTATTTATGCCAGTCTTTCACCCTTGACTTTTACAGCCGCCCGGATGGCGACCCCAGCCTCAGCCCCAGACACACGGGCTCTAGTGGCAGACTTTGTAGGCTATAAGCTGAGGCAGAAGGGTTATGTTTGTGGAGCTGGCCCCGGGGAGGGCCCAGCAGCTGACCCGCTGCACCAAGCTATGCGGGCAGCTGGAGATGAATTCGAGACCCGCTTTCGGCGCACCTTCTCTGATCTGGCCGCTCAGCTGCATGTGACCCCTGGCTCAGCCCAGCAACGCTTCACCCAAGTCTCTGATGAACTCTTTCAAGGGGGCCCTAACTGGGGCCGCCTTGTGGCCTTCTTTGTCTTTGGAGCTGCGCTGTGTGCTGAGAGTGTCAACAAGGAGATGGAGCCACTTGTGGGACAAGTGCAGGAGTGGATGGTGGCCTACCTGGAGACGCGGCTGGCCGACTGGATCCACAGCAGTGGGGGCTGGGTAAGAAGCTTCTCAGTTGCTGCTCTGCACATCCCTCTGCAAAGCTGGTCTACAGTGGGGAGATTGGGGCTCTGGCGAGAGGCTGGGGGCAGCTATGCTGGGATTGAGGTATGGGGGCTGAGTCCCCCTATTTGGGTGGAATTACTATGGAAATCATACTGGACTCTGCCCTCCAGGGCTGCCAGGTAGTCATCATTGGATGGGCTCATGGTCCAAAGCAAGAGGAGAGAATACACAGTACCTGGGGAGTACCTGCAGGGAAATTCATTAAGCCACCAGGAACATTTTACACCTCAGTATGTGGCATAGGGGAGGGGGGTGAAGGTCAGGGAGGGGTGGGATCAGGCCTTGGTGAAGGATGCCAGTTCTGAGCAGAATTTTTGGCCAAGGAAAAGATGGGGTTTGCTTGAAGAGAAGGCAAGTGAGCCAGGAGCTCACAGGGGATCCGAGGGGCTTACCGCCACTAGAGCTTTGGCCGGAGAAGAGCTGGGTGTGTGGGTAGTGCTTGCAGTGGATGGAACTGGAACTCTTCCTCTCCTCTTTTCTCCACTCTTTCCCCTCCTGATATCCCTTTCTCCTTCTTTCTCTCCTACTTCCCTTCTCTCCCACAGGCGGAGTTCACAGCTCTATACGGGGACGGGGCCCTGGAGGAGGCTCGGCGTCTGCGGGAGGGGAACTGGGCCTCAGTAAGGACAGTGCTGACAGGGGCCGTGGCACTGGGGGCCCTGGTAACTGTAGGGGCCTTTTTTGCTAGCAAGTGAGAAAGTCTAGAGCCAGGTGGGGCCTAGGTTGTGGCTGGTGGACATGAGAACAGAAACAGAACAGAGAAATGCCCTTGGAAGAATTGGGGTGAATGGATGGGCATGGAACGGGATGGGTAGGGAAAGGGAAGTATATGAGGGAACTGGGTGTGCCAGGCAGGCAGTTGGAAGCACTAGCTGGAGACATTGGGGAATGTATTTGGAAAGTTGGGAGGGGCAGGAGATAGTCATTCCAGGGTTGGGGGGAGGTGGGAGGGTCATGCCTATAGGTATAAGGCACCTTGATTTGCAGCTCTGAGGAGGTGGAGCAAAAGGTTCATGTCTCCATTGGATGAGTGGGATTGGGGGGAAACACAGAAGGCACATCCCCTAGGAATGACAGCTCAGGGTTCTCAGGTCCTAGGAAGAGTGGCTGTGAGAGTGGGCTGCTTGGACACGTGTGTGCATGTGCACGCGTGCTCCTGTGCATGCTGGGCTGCTTGTCTAACCTGGTGGCAGTAGGATTCTTCGAGGAGTAAACATTCCCTCTTGCAGTGGCAAGAACAAGGGGCAGTTCTCTGCCCCTCCTCTTCCCCGTTCCTCCCCTCCCCACCCTCCCTTCCCCCTTCCCATTTCCCCCTTCCTGTACTCCCCCCCTCTCCCTCCCTCCCTCCTCCTTCTCCCTTCCTCCCCCTCCCTCTCCTCCCTCCCCTTCTCTCCACTCCCTCATCCTCTCCCCCACCTTCCCCTCTCCTCCCCCCTCCTTTATTCCCCCCCCCCCATGCTTCAAGGCTAAGTGAGAAACACTGTATCTGGACAGAGGGTTCTGGGCCCTTTTTTGCAAGAAGTTGTTAGCAGGGCTTTGGAGAGAAAGCAGTTCTGTAGCTGGCCTTGTTCCCTTCATCCTCCCCCTTCCCTGTGCATCACGCACTTGCTGCTGCCTCCTGGGCTCTGACTGAAAGGCAGGGCTGCGGAGCCTGTGGTGGGTAGAGGCTTTGGGAGCTGGACCTGCCTGCCGCCCTCCTCTCCCACTGGGGCACACTGGTGCCTAAAGTGTTCCCTATCTCTGGGACCTTCTGTACCCAAACGTAAACTCTAAATTGGGGCTCTAATTTTCCTTTGGAGTGTGTGGACTTGAATGCTGATCTAGAATAGTCTGGGTCCTGCACTGTGCCTCAGTGAGACTGTTGAAGCTTTGAGAGGAACATTCCAGCTCTGAACCCATGCGTGTGAGGGTGACATGTGCTCTGTGACTGGCCTATTCTGTGCTGTGGGCTTTGGTGCTGCTTTATCAAGGGCCAGGTGGATGGGTTCTAGAGCACCTTCCATGCCCTATAGAAGCATTTATATTTTCTCTGAAGCCACGCTGTGTGCATGGGCGTTACTTGTCTGTACCTCAGAGTCTGAGGATGTTAACTTCAGAGCTCACAGTCCTCTAGAACAGATTCAGATTTTAGCCTTTTCTTTTGAGAAAGAAATGATTTCACTCCAGATGCATGCCCTGAGCCAGACCTCACTGCTGCACTTTCCAAGGTGCTAAAATTGCTGCTCTCCAATGCTGACTTCAGACACAGTGCTCTAGAACCCTGCCCTTGATCCCGAGCACTGATCAGCTTAGCTAGACCATGGTTGACTCTTCTTAGAGATTTTAACTTGGTCCCAGAATGTGGCAACATAGTTGTACTCACTAGATTGTGGGACCAAAATTGGCCTCAGGTGTTCAGCCCAGACTTTTGCTTTTGAGAGAGAGGGCTGCACTTTTTAATGGTATTTATAGGGGAGGTAGTAGACTGCATGCGCCACGTGGTCTGTCATGAGTATGCTGATACCAGAAACTCAGAGCTGGGCTGTGGCAAGCAGTTGGGGTGGGGGGGGTCTCTGACTTGCTCAGGACGAACTAGGCCAGTGGTTTTCTAACTGCTTGGCAGAACCCTGAAGTTTCCCAGGGCTTGCCTCAGGAGTCCTTGTGGAAGAGGGAGGGAGGGGCGCTGCGGGCCAGGCTACTTGCTTGCCCTCAAACAGAACAGTTCCCCTTGTAGCTGTCTTACATGTCGGGGTTCAGGGTAAGATTTTATTTGCATTAAGGGGTTTGCTGCTGAAAAAAGTTGGAAAACCACTGACTAGACCATCAGCTCCAAATTGGAGCCCGTGAGCCCCTAGGTTTGGGACAGACTCTCCACCTGCCCTCTACCACAGGATGCCTATGCCCGTTAGCTCTCCTGGGGGTCGTTTGTGAACAGGGACAGCAGGGACCGTGGGCAGGTCACTAAAATGCCCTGCTCGGAGGCCTGCACACCTGGGTGGAAGGAGAGACTATTTTCTGAAAGGGTAAAGGGCTTAGTCTGGATTCCCAGAAGCGTAGCTTGGATGGGACCACAGTGGGCAGTTCTGACCTGTCCTGCCCTTCTTACCTTGAGGGGCGATAGAAACCCCAGAGACTCTTCTGTCAGGGAAAACTAGAGACTCTCTTCTAGAGCCATATAGTTCCTTGGGAATAACCCTTGGCCAGGAAGGCTGAGTATGGCTCCCAATTTTTAAATCCATTTTTTAAAAAATAAGGGAAATAATCTAATTGCCATTTTTCAGAGATTAAATAGGTGGAGAGGGTGTTTGTTGCTCTCCAGAGCCCCAAGGGACAAATAGGACTTTGCTTAGGCCAAGGAAGGAGCAGAAGTAGGGCAACTAGGTCCTGCAATTATTAATTCCACTTCCCATTTATTCTAGGGCATACACTATTTTACTTTTTTAAATCATAAAATGGCGGGAGAACAGATTTGGTTAGTTTAGAAGAAAAGAAAAAGCTCTATAAATATAAATATATATTCCTGTATTTTTATTTAATAATTTATAAATACCAAGTTCATTTGACTTTTATTTTTGTGTAATATGTAATGGTCGTATTAATAAAATAAAATAAAGCCCAGAAGTTTAATGAGAAGGACTGAGCAGGGTTTGTGACTTCTACACTGTATAGTCTGGGGTCCAGGACATTTCTTGAGCCAATCTCTTCTTGACCGTGTTAAGGGCAAGAACTAGGGTGACAGGGATTTGTGAAAGTGTTGAGAATTTAGGGGGAAAAAAATCAGAATTGCTCCCTGTCTCCCCACCCTAAATGGGGACTAAATGTCCAAATCCAAGAACTCCATCTATGCCAACCCAAGCCTTAAGAGGGTGTGTGTGTGTATATATGCTATTTTGGGATGGCCAAAAACAACAACCAAAACAAAGACAACCTACCAAAAATCTGTGTGGTGGTAATTAAGTCCCCAACTGTGGTTCAGCCTCTAATTGGAAATGTGTGAGAAACTCCCTAATACCCTGCTGCCTACTTTGGACTTAAAATAAGTCTGGCAAAAATGAAGCCCCTGCTTCCTTTTCTGGTCCCCCGAGACATTTAGTTTCAGCCATTTTAATGCAAACTGATAAATTGGATGGAATCTATAGGAATTATTCTGTCCCTCCTGTACTTCTAGTTTAGGACCTCATCAAAATCCTGTCTGACAGGAATAGTGATTCTAATTTTAAATTACTAGCAAGAATTTCTAATATTTCTATAATCCAATGCAATAAAAAGGTACTTGGGTTTATATGTTAAATTATAGTGAAAAACATACTGCCTAGAGGAATCCAGTCTTGCATTCCATTCTCTCTATATAGAAAAATCTATAGGGCAAACCATATTAAAATCCAAAGAGTGGTTTGGTGAACATGACATTAAGGAAAAGAGAATTAGATGCTCTCAAAAGTTAGTATCAGGCTATGATGTAGCTAATGCATTTGTCTCTGCTGCATTGTGATTGATTTAATGATTGTTTGGTTTATTTTTGCCAAGCTCCAGAAAACATTTACATCTTACTATAATACACACAAAACAATAGGAGGTTGATTTTTAAAGCGGGGATGAAGGACAAATTGACATGTTACAATAAGATAACAGCAAAAGGAAAATTAATACACAGAAATGCATTCTATAAGCAGTATTCTCAAATGCTAAAGCTAGGTTATGAATTTATAGACTCTTGGCAGCTAAAACAAACTGGAAAACAGTGAGAATTACATTGCTCTTAGGAGATGTTAAAAAGTCTATCATTTCTCGTGCTTGCTTCGGCAGCACATATACTAAAATTGGAACAATACAGAGAAGAGTAGCATGGCCCTGTGCAAGGGTGACATACAAATTTGTGAAGCGTTCCATATTTTTTAAAAAAAGTTATTTCTCAAGATGGGCAAAGTTTTGTGCTAAGAAGACACTGAATAACAGCAAATATGATGCTGAGTTCTGCACCATTGTTTCTTATAGAAACACTAAGTGGGGATTCGGTAGGTCCTAAGCTTGTTCTATCTGACTCATCAGTTTCCTCCGAATATGCTCTATGATGCTATAGTTTGACACAGGCCTAAATTTGACACTAAGCGGACAGACTAAGCAGATAGTTTGCCCTCAAACAATTCTCCATGAATGTTATAACTTCAAATGGCACTGTTGATAAAAGTTGGTCAACATTTAATTGCAATTTCTAGCAAAAGCAATATTTTTACTTAGGATTAAGATGAAGAGTCTTTGAAAACTTTACAAGTTGCCTTAAATGTGGATGCAGGAGATGTCTATATATCTAGATATCTATATAAATGGATGCAGACATGTAAATAAATTAACAGTATTTTAAAAATCAACCAGAAAACATAACACAATGAAGTTCTATGTAGTTCTTCATTCATTCATTCATGTAGCAAACATTCAAACCTCTTCTGTGTGCTAAATGGGATAGAGAAGCAATGAGATAGTGAAATAGACACAAAATTAGTTCCCGATCTTATTTCCATTTAGTAAGGGAAACAAATGAACAAGTAAATCATTTTCACAAAATATTAACATAACTTCATGTTAGAAGGCGGCAAATGCTGTGAAGAAACAGAATTCATTAGGGTGGAATTGGGAACATGTATGTATAGATTTCAATACTAAATAGGTTGGGGAAGGCCTCATTTCTAAAGTGACTTTTGAGTTAGTCATAAAAAATATTGGAAAAAAGATTTTTACTGATATGGAAAAGATGTTTTTGTCTTATTGGGTAAAAAAATAATTAGAAAATAATATACAGTATGGTTTCATTTTGCATGCACACACACGCCCCTATATAGAAAAATTCAGGAAGGATGTGTATGCCAAAATACCAGTGATTGTCTCTGGGTGGTAGACTTTATTTTTTTCATTTTGCTGTCAGTATTTTCTGATTTTTTTTTTTTTTCAAATAAAAACATCTGGAGCAGTATAGTAAAACAAGTTTTTTCAAGTATAAAGTTTAAAAAAATTTAGCCATGCAGAATGGAAATTAAGCAGCCGAATAAAGTCCACTTCCTTCCGTACTTAAATGATCACCCACTTCCACTCAAGGCTGGACCTAGGGAGTTAAGGTTGGCCAGGCCACTTGGCCTTAAAAGATAATTGGGGTTAGCTCCAAAATAGAGGTAAGTAAATGATCAGGTTCCAAGATTATCAGCACTGTCACGAAGAAATGTAATGCAAACCTCATGTGCAGTTTTGCATTTTCTGGTCATCTCATTAAAGTGGCAAAAAGAAACAGGTACAAGTAATTTTAAATGATATTTTAACTCAGTATATAAAAACTTATTTTGACCTACAATTAAAGTATTTTACAGTCTCTTTTTCATACTAAGTTCTGCCTTTTTGACACTTTCAGCACATCTCAATTACTTTCAAGCCACGTGTGACTAGTTAGTGGCTATCATATGTTGCTCTAAGTTATAGAGAATTACTGTAGCCTGTAAACATTTCAAAGTAGTAGTTATGATAAGGATGAAACTGCCAAGAAGCCAAGTATTTATGTTGTGTAATAAGGAAACTTACCCCTTCTGAACAGAACTGGAGAGGCCCTGATTTAATTTTCCTTTTCTCAACCCCACTGACTAATCTTATATTAACAGATATTTCGTTCTTATAGGGCACAATATCATTGAGCTTCAGTTTTCCCAAAATTCCATGACCCTCTATTTATAGGTTATTACTGAAGGAAAATTACATTCATAATGGGTGAATGTCATAGCATTACATACTAGTTTTTAAAAAAATTCATTCTGAGGGAAATATATCTCTTCAATGTTCCCTATGCATCAACAATAGGCAAGACATTAAATAAGATTATTACAAGATGCCTTAGTTAGAATGTATTGAGCACACAGTGATAGCAGTGGGAGTGTAAATATAAAATGGTGCCCCTGCCATTTACAGTTTTCAATCTCATCAGGCATTATCTTACTTTACAAGTAAGTCACCATTAACTTTTTTTTTTTACCAATAACTTTTTAAATGTGTTTGTAAAAGTAATTGTTACCTATTAGAGTAAGTTTGGAAGTTGGAGTGTTTTTTTATTTTAAATAAAAACTATGATATTGTGGAAAAAATCACAGGACAAAGAAGATTTTAAAGAAAAGCAATCATAATCCTACTACCCAGAGAAAATCACCATTAACATTTTGGCATATTTCTTTCCCACCTTTTATCTGTGTTTGTATTTTATGATCATACTGTATATACAGTTTTGTATCTTGCTACCTACCATTATGTTGCAAGCATTTTTCCTTGTCATTAAAAATGTGTTGAAGGCATAATGACTATAAAATTACATCTGTGTGTACAATAATTTTCCTGAAAGTGCCCACAAGGATATTCAAGTTGTTCACATATTTTCACTTTGAAGAACACCTTTATTCTCAATTGTGCACCAGTTTTTAAATTATTTCTTTAGAACAAAATATAAGAAATAAAATTATTGGGTCAAGATTTTCAGCTTTTAAAAAACTTTTGATACATAGTGCTAAAGGAAAGATCATACTAGTTCTTGTTCCTTTCCCCTGCCAAAAAATGCCCAAGTTTTTTTAATCACATATACATAGTTGTAATCATACTTTCCATACAATTTGATATAATAATTATTTTTGCATATTATCAACTATGTGTAAACCTTTTAACAGGTGCATAATCTTTAATTGGCTCTAATTATAGTTTGCCTAAATATTTTTTGTTGGAATTTAGGGTTTTTTCCCCCCCAGTTTTAGCATCATTTATATGTAATCTTTGTATGTTAAAGGAGACCTGATAGTAATTTTTTCTTAGCTTTCAAAGTTGGTTTTGAATCCCCTGCTCACTTCAAATTAGTTCCATAACTTGGGCAAATTAGTTCACTCTTTCCTTCTCCCTAAAAAGGATATAGTTTTGGAAATATTTATTTCTTAGGTTATTGTGAGAATTGAATAAGGTATCATAAGGAATCTAGGGTAGTGTCTACTATAAACTCAGATGCTCAACAAAATTAGGATTCAAAGGCATTATGAAAAAAATCACATTTCCTTTTGTTAGCTTGGTTAGTTTAAATTAGGTACCAATAAAACATTAAAATTTTGATTGGGTAAAGATCAATAGAAAAGATTTTTCTTCCAGTGAACTCACAATCTTTTATAGCTTGCATTGGTGTTCCGTGCTCAACTTTGGTTCTCCCAAGACCTTTGAAGCTAAGCTGACTGATGAAGTAATTCTCAGTGACATTTTAAACAACTGTGACACTGCTCTAAGTTGCCCCGATTCTGAGGTAAGGCTTTATGAGAAAAGTCAGGGGAAGAATGGGAGGTACACTGAGAAGTTTTTGACTTTTGGTTTGGTGATAGGTAACTCCTTTTGTCCAAATCCCGCTGCCCCAGCCATGCAGGGCATCTGTTAGGGTTGTTTGAATAACTGTTTGGTTGGGTTCATGTGAATCTGGCTCTTAAACTGTAGCTTTATTTGGTTATACATATCCCTTTTGCATACTTAGCACCGCCGTTCCTTCCTTTTTAATAAATGTGTAGGATCACTACTGAAATATGGCAACCCTGCCTCCCTGGGCTATGTTTCACTGGTATCTCAGAGTGCAGTGGTGTGAGAATCTGCCCAGAGAAGTTCTTCTGGGGATCTGAAGGAGGGCCAGGGGTCCGGGAAAGCCCTGAAGATGAAGGGTGGCACCCAGATCCCCAATCAGTGCATCCTTTGGTCAACAAATATTTATTGGACACTTAGTCTGTGCTAGGCATACTGCCCCCACAGTGGATATGCAAATATAAATAGGATTCAGCCTCTCGTCCAGTACTCATAACCTAGTAAGGGAATGTAGCACAAAAAGATTAAATGTACAGGTAGGCCTGCTGACAGTGGGAGGGGAGGAGAGGCTAGTGGAAAGCTTTGTGAGAGAGGTGATGCAGGAATTTGCAGTGGTCTAGTTGAAGAGGGACTGTATGTATAGAGGCACAGACCTGGGTGCCGGTCCACCTACTGGAACGAGGAGAGTGGAAGCAACATTCGGGAAGTAGCCTGATCCTGAGAACTCTAAGGCCACGGTAAGGAGTTTTGAGATTTTATTTGGCCTGAAAAGGGCAGCCAGCTCGGTTTTGTAGTGGTGCGGATTGACGGGGTGACACTGCAAACGGACTCATTAGGGGGCTGTAGCAAATAGTCCAAAAGAAACAGGCTGAAACCGAAGCATGAGCAGAGGGCTTCGAAAGTATGCCTGCGAGGGGCGACAGAACGGGCGGAGTTCGTTCTGCTAGCTCTAAAATGAGGACTCCTGCCTGCTTTCTGGTTTAAGAGACCTGCTTGATGGTGGTGCCAATTAACCTGGGGGGGGAAAGCAAGCCTCCTTCCTGGAGAGCACATTCAGAACCCTCCATTCCCAGCAACATCCCGTCCACTGCGGGTATCCTGGTCAGGAGGCCAGTTTCCAGAAAACCCGGCAACGTTCCGGTCTGTCTCCAGCAATTCAGAAGTTAGCAATGAGCAGCACCAAGATGGCGCCCCCTAATGACTCGTCATATGACCTCGGGTTTCCCTTGCTGGAAGCCCGGCAGTCCGTTCGGGAACAAGGTTCACCTGTCACTAAACGTGTCAGCCCTTCGAATCTCGCGAGCCAATCGGCATCTGAGATTGGGCCACAGCGGCGAAACGATCGGAAGACTGGTCCTTTCCGCTCGCCTAGCCGGCGGCCAATCACGGAGCGTGATACACTTGGCGGCCCTTCCCGTAGGCGGGGGAGCAGCGGGAATGTCGTCACAGCGTGGCGGTATTGTTACCTAAGGAATTGAGAAGAGGTGGGACGTGTGTTGATTGACAGGCCGATTTCCCCTGCGGGGATTTGAGAGTTTGGCGCAATACCCCGCCTTAGAGGTGGGGTCTTCTTTGATTGCCAAGTAATGTTCCCCAATGGGGTGCTAGCTCGCGGTGACGGGCAGGCTGCTTAACTAATGAATCCTCGGCGTGGCAGGCGCAGTTCTCCAATCGCTGGGCGGCGGGCCCCAGTCTGAGCGGCGATGGCGGCGGCGGCGGCGGCGGCAGCAGCAGCGGGGGCTGCGGGCGGTCGGGGCTCCGGGCCGGGGCGGCGGCGCCATCTTGTGCCCGGGGCCGGTGGGGAGGCCGGGGAGGGGGCCCCGGGGGGCGCAGGGGACTACGGGAACGGCCTGGAGGCTGAGGAACTGGAGCCTGGGGAGCTGCTGCCGGAGCCCGAGCCTGAAGAGGAGCCGCCCCGGCCCCGCGCCCCCCCGGGAACGCCGGGCCCAGGGCCTGGCTCGGGAGCCCCCGGCAGCCAGGAGGAGGAGGAGGAGCAGGGACTGATCGAGGGTGACCCGGGGGACGGCGCCATTGAGGACCCGGTGAGGGAAGCAGGGCGGCGAGCAGGCCGGCGGCCGCCCGGGCGGGTCGCGGGAGGCCCGAGCTTAGGCGAGCGGGAGCCAGGCGGGGGGTGGGGTGGGCGGGGAATAACGTGGCGGGGCCGGGCCGGGGCCGGAGCCGCGACCGCCCGAGGAGGCCCGGCCGGGTCGGGCCGGGCGTTATGGGCGCCTAGCGCTTCGGAGCGCAGGTGGCCGGCTTCTCTCGCATCGTGATCCGCGCGCGGGGCGAGGCAGTCGCCGGTGTGGCCGGCCCCGCGCGCGGCCCGGAGCAGGGCGCAGCCCCTGCGCTGGTTCCCTTTGAGCTGTTCTCCATCCCCTCCCCGCTCGTTGTAGGAGCTGGAAGCGATCAAAGCTCGAGTCAGGGAGATGGAGGAAGAAGCAGAGAAGCTAAAGGAGCTCCAGAACGAGGTAGAGAAGCAGATGAACATGAGTCCACCTCCAGGCAATGGTTAGTAACTGGCGGTTGCACGCGGAGCCCGGTCCTCGGGGTGGAAGCGCGGTGGGGGCTCGGGCTGTGCGGGGTTTCGTGTTGGGATCCTGGCGCAGCTGGAGTGAGCAAGCAGTTGCCGTGCCACGGTCATAGTCCATCGTGTGCTCGCCTGACCTTTGTGAGACAGAACCTGTGTTTTGCAGAGGGAGTTTTGTGCCTGTCTTTGTCCCTGTTGCAAGTGTATTGCTCTTTGTTCTTAGTCTACCTCTGTAGACTTTGTGGAGGTAGACAACCTTTGTGGAGGTTGCCAACTGGCATTTGACCTTCAAGTCTACTAGTTCTTCCGTCAGATGGAGACCCTTTCGCTATGAGTCCTGAAAGAAATTGCTCAGCTGCAGGAGCCTTTCCCTTTAATCTTCATTAAGCACACTTAATTGTGTTCACTTTTCAAATCATTTCAACCAAAGTTAATCGGCAGAGACGTGATTTGAGGGTGGAGGATTCCTGTGCTGTTTTGACTTTGTAAAAATGTGTGAATGTATTCCTTCATTTGTCAAATATTTAGTGAGCATGTACCATTTGTTACTGTTCTAGGTAGTAGGAACAGAACAGTTCAAAATCTTTACCTTCACTGATGGTGGTGCAGCCTATATTGGTCAAGTAGAAAACATGCATTTTTGCCCCCTGATTCTTTTTCTTCAAAGCTGGCCCAGTGATCATGTCCATTGAGGAGAAGATGGAGGCTGATGCCCGTTCCATCTATGTTGGCAATGTATGTACTTGGGGCCTGATAGGGGTTGGGGGAGACTCTTTACTGTGGGGGTGAGGGGCATTATTTAACAGGAGTCTTGAAAGAAACATCTCCAGGATAGGTAGTGAATTTGGGGGGTGGAGGTAAAAGGTAGTAGTGATCAGCGTTTCTGGGTTTCTTTCCAGACTCACATCAGAGAGACTCGGGGGTTGGAAAGAAAAGACATTAATTAGTTCCTTCAAGATCCAGATTTGATGTGCCTTGGTGTATATGGATGGCTCAGGTAGGCAGGCTACCTGTTGAGATGGGAGTTTACCCAGTACTTGTGAAATGTACCTCCTCAGGTGGACTATGGTGCAACAGCAGAAGAGCTGGAGGCGCACTTTCATGGCTGTGGTTCAGTCAACCGTGTTACCATACTCTGTGACAAATTTAGTGGCCATCCCAAAGGGTAAGTAGGGAAGGTCATTTCAGTCACAGTTTAAAAATAGGTGAGTTTTTTTTTTTTTTTTTAAGATTTATTTATGCATACAAGGGTTGGGGTACAGGTGAATTACGTTTTATATTGAACAGTAAGCTATCTTGCTATTGAAACCAATGGTCTTTATCTTTTAAGACAGGGCATTAATGTTCACATGTGTCAGGGATTAGGCATAAATGTCTCCTGAGGCCATATAGATAATAAAGGTGAAGATTAGGTATGGGTGGGATTGTGAATGAGAAGTGGATGGGCAACTTCTGTTTGACCCACCTGATTCTGCTATGTGAAAATCCAGACCCTGTATGTCATGTTTTATAGTTTTCCAAGAGTAGCTGGAAACTGATGATAAAAATGTGAATACATTGTACCCAAACAGTGTGCCTGCAAGTTGGATTTGACCTATGAGCTAGTATTTGCAACTTCAGATAGATAAAGAGACAATTACTCTTTTCAGGTTTGCATATATAGAGTTCTCAGACAAAGAGTCAGTGAGGACTTCCCTGGCTTTAGATGAGTCCCTATTTAGAGGACGACAAATCAAGGTAAGCTCCATGCTCCATCGCTATTGTGTGTCTGTATAAACTTCCCGGCTAGCCTCTCTAAGGCTTTTTTGTTGTATATCCTTCACTGTTAGGTGATCCCAAAACGAACCAACAGACCAGGCATCAGCACAACAGACCGGGGTTTCCCACGAGCGAGATACCGTGCCAGGACCACCAACTACAACAGTTCCCGCTCTCGATTCTACAGTGGTTTTAGCAGCAGGCCCCGGGGTCGCATCTACAGGTCAGGATAGATGGGCTGCTCCTCTCCCCCGCCTCCCATGAGCCCTGTATGCTTCCTTCTCTCCTGATCTGAGAAACTTCCCTTCCCTACCCCTGCCCTTGGTTATCAGGGACTTGGTCTCCTGCCTGTGCAGGGTGAGGAAGGTAGTTGCAGGCCAGGCCAGGAGGCCAGTCTCATCTTTTTCTGAAGCAGGAATTGGTGATAAAGACTGAATCTCTCCACTTTGCTCTGAGAGATGCTTCTTCCACCAGCATTTTTTTTCCCCTCTTTGAGAGTTGGTAGCATTGAAGGCCTTTACATAGAAGGTCATGA